CCCAAGAGACTCATGTGATTTCTGGGGAAACATACCCAAGAGACTCATGTGATTTCTGGGGAAACATACCCAAGAGACTCCTGTGACTTCTGGGGAAACATACCCAACAGACTCTTGTGATTTCTGGGGAAACATACCCAAGAGACTCATGTGATTTCTGGGGAATTGTAAGCCCTAACCTATGCCTAAGTTTACCATTCTCAATATTGATGTCAGTTGTTACAATGATTCAAACTGACAAAGAAGGCCTAGCACATGTTTAATCTTAATTTCCTTGATACTAGTAATGATGATCAGGGAAAGTGTTCCATACATCGACATCACTTGACACCCGGTGTACAAACCCTAGGCATGCTAGGAGACTGGTCCAAAGAACAACAAATGCTTCAACATTTTCCTTGCTAATTTGACATTTTAGGACTGATTGTTAAGTTTATCACTTTCTGATAGCTGATACTTGCATGACTTGATACTAATAATCTGTGCAACTAACAAATGCAAGGAAAATTTAATGTTGTCCGCATACGGAATTCTTACCACCATCAGGTCATGCTTAGATTTAAAAATAGTATTATTCGAAAAAGTCGTCGGGTAGTTTATTTACCCGTTCGAGCAGCGTGAGAGTCTGGTTTTCAACAGCTGTATAGCTTCCCGTTCCTAACTCGCTTTCCTCTGCTTCGACTTCTTGCACTGACGGCAGTCCGGTAGGTCGTTGTTTCTTGGCACGGAAGCGCTTATGCTTCGCTTTCCCCATGTCCTTTTGACGCTTGAAAGCCTGTTCTTTAGCAATAAATTTCTCACAACCTAAATCAGCCTCCAAAAAAGGGGAATACCGGGCGATTTTGCTCTGCACAAAACTTCATTTCAGCGACAGTCTCTGCCATGTGGTTTTTGTCCCACAAGACCATTATCAACGTAAAACTGCTTCCGGGTCAAAAGCTAAGGAAAGTTAACTTGCTTTAGCCACGATTTTGGTATCTTTTGAACAACCTGTATTTTAATTTGTTTGAAAAGAAAGTAACAAACTTTTGTCCTTGCGATTTGAAATATTGTTTAGATACAATTCTTTACCAATTTATTGAAAATGTTCCGAAAATAGTTATCAACTTTAACGCAAAAATGCTTGGGCCTGGAAACAAGTTGATTTTTTTCGCGCCAGATGGGAGCGCCCTCTACTGTTCAAATGTTGCAACAACCAGGAAGTAGGACTGGCACGGGCTACTTTTTCCCTTTCAACATTCAAAGGTTGCAATATGGCGGTTTTGGGGTCATGTTTGGATTTTGCCACCGTGACACTATTTGTCACGTCTGCTTGGGTTTACCTCGGCAGAAATTTAAGCTTTGGCACTCTTTCGGTCGCCATGTATTTCCCAGCTGCGTTTGCGCTTCTGTTCAAAGTTGCAAGTGGTGAATGTTTCGAATTCGTGAACCAGATGCTTGTCGGTCTTAGCGCACCACCCACCGAAGCGGTTGGTTTTTTGTGTTTCATCACATGATATGGAGATTTATATCATTTGTCATTATTATCCCTAACCCTCCTCAATCCTTCACCTGTTGCAGGACTGAGGAGTGTTAGGGTTATTATTTGGGAAATCCTCAAAATTCTTGATCAATAATTTCTGAAGTCCAGCTGCGTACAAAGCTGGTTTACTTCCTCTAATTAAACCAGTCAATAAATCTTGCATTCAACTGATCATGCTGAGTGATCTTGCTCAACATTTTCAAGTTTATCTTCAAAATGACATGATTATGAAGATATATGTGACTTGGCACGACAAAATGAATGTATAGTTGCATTCTGCTCTTTCCTGTTTTGAGGGTTCAAAGTCATATATTGAGGTGGAGGTCAATTTTGGCATTTTGTTATATTGAAGTCAAGTGTGGTCCATGCATGAAACTCATTCCTTTATTTCTTACAGTATTTCTCTATGGTGATAGCATGCCTCATATCCATAGCAATCACAGTATCAACCATAGGTCTCTGTGTCATCCTGAACCTCTGTTTGTGTTGGGGCATCGTTGCCAAGGGAAGTAAACTGGAGGACCAGAGGTCATCCAAGGTTAAGGCATTTATGAGGCGGAATAAGATCTGGGGATTTCTCCGAGCCTCTGGGGAGGAGGTTGGATGGCGTTGTTTCTTATTGCCCTGCTTATTGGACACCTATTCACCTGCCAGTGCTCTTTTTATCAGGTTTGTGTAGGAACGTTTGGAACATTAAGTTTGCTTTGGAATGGTGGTGTAGTCAAGGGAGACAAATGCAACTCCGCTGGAACTCTTACCTCCTTTTCCCCCACCACCCCAAAAAAAAATTAATCAGGATTTTTTGGGGAGGGGAAGCTGCCACCACAACATCTGTTGTGTGTTGAAATGCATAACCATTATTTTGACCTAAAGTCATTTAGCAAGTTGTGGGGGAAAGCAATACCCCTGTGGGAACCTGCTCCCTCTCCCGAACTCACAAATTTTCAAATGGCCATAACACAATGGCCACAAAAGCACAAATTAAGATGTCTTTTTCATTATTAACAGACATTATATAACTCTATCAGAGGTTAAGGCAATAGCCAAACAGAGCAAAGAATCCTTTAAAACACTGTGCTTTTTGTTGTTGGAAGTAACCAGATTGTTCTGTCTTTTTTTTCTTCAGTGGAGTGATTTGGGGTCTGTTCCATGTTGCTGTCATGGTCTTATTGACCCATAAACTTAAAGTGAAGCATCCACTGATGACCGTGACTGTCCAGTGTACATCAGTCTTACTCAACGCCTATTCCCATGGCTGGATAACCATGCGATCTGGCTACAGCCTGTGGCCGTCTGCCATTATGCACTGCACATGGAATATAGTGAACCCATTGGGTAAGAAGGAATATTTGAATCTCACAGCATTTGACTGGGAAGTCATGGAAGTTATCTGGACAAGATGCAAAGATTGTGAAGCAGTACAGTGATTTGGATAAGCTTTTTTATTCCAGACTGGGATGAATGTTATAGGTTTTCTGTTTTGAGCAGCTGTGTAACATTTAGTTTTGGATTATACCCATAGCTGATATGAAATTTCAACCTGTGGTCTCTTTGTGGTGTTCCTACCTGAGTTATCCAATCACATCTTAATCATTTTATTGCATTTGCTGTGGAATATCTTAGTCCAAAACCTTTAATCCTTTAGGAGACTTAATGTCCATCATTGGAGCAATAAAAATTTGGAATCAGCACTTTGAAATGATTGGAAAGATTTTGTTTCAATTTATTAAGACATGAAGTATGAATGAGTGAAGTTAGTTTGTTTCTAAATTGAAAGCTTCCTCACATATCTGATTTGGTTTTTTTCTTCTCGTATATGTCATGCCAAATCGAAAAACACTTTACAAAGTCCTAAACGGCTTGAAATTTCCTCATATTGGATGATGTCTCTTGTTCATTCCAGATGCTTTAAGGAATTTGGATAGTAATTCCCATTTATTTTTATTTTGTTCATTTTCATATCAGTACTTGGCAGCATTTATACCCATGAGCCAGGCCTGATTGTGGGTGAGCAATGGCTTATTAATGGTGAGGGTCTTGCTGGATGTATCGTCAGCATTCCCTTGGTCTTGCTGATTGTAAATGATATGGCAGGCTAGACATGTCACGCAAACCCAGGTAAGTACAACCGCTAATGTGATGACCACCTTGAGGCATGTTTTGCCTTCAAATCAAAATTTGCTTCCTCAGCCCATCCAAGATTTTGGTAACAAGGGTGCGTGAGTTGAGAGGTTATGTTGGCTGCATGTATACGGAAGTTGGTGGACTGTCCATACCATGTATACAGCTGATTGTCTCGTTTTCTACTTCCACTCATTCCATTAAAAATTGAAAAACGTACAAATCTAAGTTACCTGCCTAAGTTGTCCTTAAGTGAGTTTTGTGTGATTTATACAAGATTCAGTTGTAGGTGAAGTTGTTCATGTACATATATGACGATATTATGTCGTTTCTAACTTGTTTCTGACAAAATTCCTTCAAACAAGTATCCGCCTTACCATCCATCATTACAATTACAATCTGAAAAACAACCTTCTGCAAAGTGTTGCTTCTAAAGATCTCATCCAAACTTGGGAGTTTCCTTTTTAGCAAGACTTCATGCAAAAATACACTTTCTGGACACGAACCTTTTTTTAATTCACTTTATTTGAGATGCCATTAAGAGACTCTATTCAGGATTTTTAAAATACAAATTTATGGTGTAAATGTGTGCAAAAATTGAATTGGAATTTGAATAAATTGGAAGATCCTTGATCTAGAGTTCTTATAAAAAATTTCAAATTTTTTAATGACTCCTGTTCAAGACTTGCCATCCTTCCCTTTATTGCACTCAAGCAAAGCAGGTCTTTTTTGCTTTGAGTTTTCATTTTTAGATATAAACGTACTAGGTTACTGGAAGAACTCAGTGAGGAAATACAAGTAATACTTCCAACATCAATTCACAATATCTTTACTTTTGTAATTTCTATTTCTTAATTGTGTGACTGTTTCAAAGCTTTGATAAGTTTGTTAAATCACTGACTTTGATATGATCAATCAACAATCCAACGTTCATGCAAGGCAGCCCAAGATTTACACGTAGCAAAGCGCAAAATTAGTAGCTGTTTTGCATTCACTTTTAATTCCGATCTTACTGACACAAAACCTTGTCTTTACATGTGCATTTTTAAATGAATTTTTACACAGTATTTCTGTGGCAACTTTTTCATCGCTGTAAGAGGCCGTTTAAAAATGAATGCAAAACTTTGTATTTGTTAAGCTTGCATTTACAACTGGCATGACTACTGCATCTAAAATAAATTGAAATTTATTCATAAATATACAAGAATGGCTCTTCAAAAACACTTCTCAGCTTTATAAATATCAAAATACACAACATTGTGGACATGTTGAAAAAATGCAATTCAACTACATTTAAAGATAATCTAGTGCATTTGCAAATAAGAGCTACTAAAGTCTAAAACAATTGTGCAACTTACAGCTTTCTGAAACTTATTTGCAAATCTGGCCAATGTATTTCAAACTGACTTAAAAAAAACAGTAAATTGGTTGAAAAATAAAACCATTAAAGAATAATCAGGAGTTTAAAATAGTTATTACTTTGATAAGTTTACAACTTAAAGAGTTTACTTTCCTCAGAATGAATTGTACAAATTATTCTATTGGTCTCCTGGGTCGGTGTTTATTTGATCATAGGCTCTTAAAAAGATTTAGTGCATTTCAAGAGCATTAAAGTCTTGGAAGTAAATGTTCTTTGCTAATGACTGATAATGCCCTTCAAACCTGATCAACCCAAATATCAAATTATTTCAATTTCGTTTCCTAAGCTTGGTTTCCCATGTAACATAGATCACTCTTCAATTCGGATTTTTAACAGATGGAGTAAACTTATTTTTTTTATACATCTGACATAAATAATACTGTCAATTGATAAACATATTATTGCGTCACTCAAACGGCCTGACAAGATGATGTTAAACTTGACTCAGATTCCTTTTTTAACCCTTGTCGTCAGCAGGAAGCATTGCCTTTAAGCGGGAGGGAATCTTTCCTCAAGTCTCACATCGACCTTGAAGAACCCAACTGATAAAATGTTTCGTTGTCACAACTCTCATGACAATTGAGAATGTTCAGCATGGATGGCAAGAATATCTGCATTTTTCCCCTTTTCCCTCAAACTGCTTTCTACCCAACCAGTTAAGTTACCTCAAATTAGAGAGAAGCCACCAAAACCAGGTTTTGACTAAATTTTGGATTATTTCCGACACAAAAATGCAGACCCATTAGCTACCAAAAAATCCACAAAGAAACGAATAAACCCACCAACCGCATTACCAGTCCACATGCTACGTTCTTAGGGCTGTTTGATACCATCATGAATGTATACATTACATCTTTGCAAACATATTCAGTTCCTTAAAGCCACTTCTATCACCCTTACTAAGGATCACGTTTTTCACCTACAGATGAAGAAACATGTTGCTTTAATGGATGCGATAACAATAAAGGATGTAATACGTTGCCAGTGTTTGACAGTAACACTTAGTACATGTGGGTAGATATTAAAATCTGAAATATTGAACACACCGAGTTAGTCTAACAGTTTTATAATGAGTTTCTCAAAGGATGTTACCTAAGAAAATGGTTACTGATTTGAACGAGAAACCGATTGGAAGCCCAGGTATCTTTCACTAAAGAATAAATGGATGGAAGTCATGCTGAAGTGCGAGTTGAAATTGGCGCTTAGGAAGCACTGAGTTATATAATGGTTACAGAAATACAAGTACAAGTTATTACCTCTAGTACTGATCCATTTGAAAAGGACATTCTGAGCTGCAAAAAAAGACTAGCTAAAAAATCTACTTCTTAACTATCTACGAGAACACAAGGCACAAAAGGTTAAAATACGCCAAAATATCCCACTGTTGAAAACAGGATGGATGGACTAATAGGAACATGATCATTCAACACTTCTAATACACACAAATTATGTAAAGTCAAACAATATCTGTCCTTAATAATGGATAAATTGCTATGTAAACTAAAATATGCAGTCTAAATATATAACTACACTTGGAAGTGTACAATTAATTTTAAATTTCTTAATTTGTTTGAAAAGGCACATTCGTTCATGCACAGAGTATCAGACACATGGATTGTTTGGGGAAATTAGTGATTTATAATATTATTAATGAAAATGACAAGATGTCAAAGATGTGACATCAGCAACTGGGTTTTATTTCTTGTAGGAGGTCACTTTGAATTCCACTAGCCACATGACAAGTCAACATTGGACCATTTAATGTTTCCACTCTTTGCCGTATTCAAGAAACATATTACACCTTCTGTAAAACCAAAGTGTAGAATCATTTGAACTCACTGGTTGAGAAGTGAAAGACTTTCTGTAAGCAGACAGATACAGGCAGGAACACAGAAAGAATTTTAATGTAGAATGTACAGTCAACTTCCACTAGAGAGGAGAAATATTGAACATAAAGGTGTACATGGCAGTAGCTGGTGACAACCAGACATATGCTACAAAGAGTACTTCAAAATATCTAAATATGGGTTTCATTTACTCTACACCCACGTTTATCTGTCCTGAAAAGCAAAAGAATCCATCTACAGAAGGATGAAAAGAAGAAAGTGAGGGGAAACTATATGCTTCTACACTTTGGAAAGTTTTTGCACAAAAATATGCGATTGATATCCATTCAAGCATTACAGACTCAGTTTCAAAACACAGCATAGTGTTTGAAACAAATTTTACCTGAAGACAAGCACAGAGTGAAAGTGAAGAAGTTAGTAGTGTCATGGTTCAATGTTGAAAGTTTTGCATGAATTGGTTTTGCATGAGCTCAAGATCTACATAGACATGCACAGAGTGGATACAAATCAACCTGATTTCATCTTGTATCTTTTGTTTCCTCCCCTCAAGGCATAAAGAGTTCCATCTTGCCGGTGTACTGACGTTGCTTGTCATGGAGAGCTTTCATGGCGAGTTCTTGGGAGTAGAATGGAACCAATACATCCCCGTTGTACTGAAACTGTACATTCTCAGCTGGCACCTTCAAGGGTAAGAAGAAAAGACGACAAATTTTGATTGTTAAATTGGATTTCTAGATGTTCGGTGTATTTTGTATTGTGGTTATTTTGTGATGGACGTCTGAGTGTCAAGCTTCTGAAATATGGGGGTAGCATAAAAATTGCAAGTGTTTAATATTTAGTGAATATTTATAGTACTTTGTCATTATTTATGAGATTGTGCATAATAATCAGAATTGAAGAGTTCTATTTTTGATTACAAACCTCTAGAATTTATGCCCTGATTTTTGTAAAGCGAGTGACGTGTATTGTTCAAAACACAAAGGATTTAGATGTTTAAGACTGATATCATTGCTATGAGATGTTGGAAAATATGTTATTAAACATTCAACTGCCGGTTGAAATTGTTTCAAATGAAATTTGGGGCAGAATTCTTTGTGTTCTTTTAGAGTTTACCAAAGAGAGCTGTGAGTTGTTGCTCCTAAATGTAGAATGCAATTCTATAGAATTTGTTGTTGTATTCAATATTCTGTCCTAAACCTATTTTTCAGAAGTGTTCTCAGGATTTATTCGACAGGATCAGTCATTTCTGAAAAAAATTTTATGGAAGAGACATGTAACAGTTTAGAGTTAGGGTCAACAATTTTTGCAGACTGCTAGGATGGTACTCAAATGCACTCGATCTAACTATCCTCTGTGAATTAAAAAGTGTGTTAAAGTGAAATGCCACGTTCCAAACCTGCTGGTAATACATTGCTCCTGGAAAATGGATTACTTGAGCATATTAGGGGCACATAAGAAGGAAAACAGGAAGTTTTGTCAAAATGCCTTTACATCGTGTAGTGGCTTAGGAAAGGATGGGAATCAAGGTTAATTTTTTTTCTCATTTTTTTCCTGTAAAGTTGGAAAAGATCAATTTGAAGAGGTTATTTTATTTACTGCCGAAATCTGTACTCAAGTTTTGTTTTATTCAGCGGATGTAAAGGCTCATTTCAAGGTGTTATTGACTGTAGCCTCAATTATTAGCAGGAAATCCTATCACAGCATGCGATAATATATTACTGGCATGCTTCAAACCTGGCCTTTTGCTTTAACAGTCTAGTGTATTAGCAGTGGTTTGTTGTAGGATCAGTTGCTTAAATGTTCTGATTTAACTTCTGAACTGTCATGCAAATTTGTCAAAAGAGGACTTAGTTTCAAAGTGAATAGCTGAATGATTTTCACCCCGTATTACTGCTCTGTGTATTCCAATGCTTTCTTGACATTTTTACAAGAAGTTACAAGACTTAAATTACCCTAACTCCTGAGGCATCATTGCTTAGCACGTTCCTCGATCCTGCAAAATCCTCCACTGTGCAGAAACCCATGGCAACTTATTTGACTGCAACTGTCAAGGGGCAACATTTGCCTTGTAAATTCTTAGAACGGTGGTTGGGCTCAACCATTCAAAATCCTCCCAAACCCTTTTGTCTGATTTTTAAAGTTGTGGGAGGGTTTAGGGTCATCAAGCACTAACTTTTCATAATACAGTGTGCTCAAATTTGCTTATTTGTTAATATAATAAAGCATGTGTGCCAATAATCCACATCCTGTGTATCCTTGTGTTTTGTAGTTATCTGCAATTTTCTGAAATCAGTGCCTATGTCAAGTTTTTTTAAAGTTATGGATTGATGCCAGTGTGTGAGCAAATGTAGCAGTAAATGTTTATATAAAGTGTTAACCAAGACAATGGATAGATTTGATCTCCGGAATGTTGGGAAAGAATGATTTTTCCCACCCCAGAATTGATTGGACACCCAACACCAAATTCTGAGGCAAATGTTCTGACTGGAACTTGTTACCAAGAGCCTGTGTTATGTAACCAGTACTGAACCCAGACATGTACCTTTTCAAATGAACCATCACCAGAATGTTTGCCAAAATGGGAAGACCTAGAGCGGAACCTCCTGTAAAATTAACAGCAAGTCTACGTTAGAAAAAGAATACTCAAAACACCAAGATAAGAAAAAACCCCACCACGTCTGTGATATGTCGCCTCCACCACTGTTAAAGCCATCACCAAAACTGCCACCAAGTTATCGAGGATGTTGATTAACTACAAAGTTTCCTTGGAAATAATTAGTACAGCTTGTTCACCAAAGTTTGTTGTTTTTTTTTAGCAACACCACTAATATCCATGGACAGTGTTTCCCAAACCATCTACAGAATCTAGATGCCCAACCAGAGAATGGAGCAATGAGATTAATTTTTCTGGCTACCTATTGCATAGTTAGCATCAGTCTCCTTTATATTGCACGTGATCATAGTTTTCCTGAGTATCTCAGGTCATTGCCACTCGATGCCAGCTCCATGATGTGTTGGGATAGCCTTCTCATATGGGAGACAGGTAAAATGGAAAAATTGCCAATATCAACAAAGCATTATCTGAGGTTATTGGTTTAATTATTGTCCATGACTGTTTATTATCACCTTACAAACCTTCGATGTTAATTATCATCTAGTCACCTCATGAAATGTTGAACTCTTTTTTTTCTTGAACCAAAAATTATTTTTGTTGCCACAAAAAGTGAGTTTTGAACATTAACTGATGTTCCATTGAGTCAGTCAAACAAGCGAATCCAAGGTGCAAATATGCTCTTTAACTCAAAACATGTTTCTTTTTTGGCAGTATTTTGATGTCAAATGTTGCTCATATCAAAATCGAATACATGAAGTTTTCTTCCACAAACTGTTCCCTAAAATATATGGGTTGAAATCTCATTTCAAAGTAAAGTTACACAAAAAAGTCTTTTAACACAAACAGAACATCTTTACTTTTGCTTTTTCTTTCATAAGTAACAAATATACAAAATAAACTTGTACCTCTTTTAGGGTATATTTTTCCTGTTTTTGTGTAAAATAGTAATGAATAAATTATCATGGAGAGAGTGTCATGAAGATTAAGATATCAATTAGTTCTGAACAAAACTGACCATTAGAGTGCTAGAAAATCATTTTGTGCACGTTCAGGCTAAATGCTCAGAAAAAAATACCCCATCCCCAAATCAAAACTTATAATTGTTACAGTCTTTGCGATCACTTTGAAGAAATCTAAACCAACACCAAATCTTTCTAATTTGAAATGTCAAGGTGCGGCTTGAAGTGGTTTTAAGGGCAGAGTTAGGTTAGCTTGTACCAAGACGCATGAGTTGTACCCTTGTCACTCACCCCATATCCCTGGAAGAAGTTGGCAACTTCTTGGGGCGTAGCTCCAACATGGAGTCCTCGAAGGCGGATGACCGCATTGCTGGCGTGGGGGTGATGGTAGAGCTGGCTGGTGGTAGGGGAGACAGGAGGGCTAGGGAAGTAATAAAGAGGTTGTTGGATGTAGGAATGGGTGGCCTGTTGGCGTGTCTGGATGGCAGGCATGGGAGTCGTGGTTGGGATCATACCGCCGTTGGGAGATTGAAGTTGCTGCTGATAAGGGAATGGAGGAGTTGTTGGTGCTATTGCACTTTGTACTGCTGCAATAAAAAAAAAATCACAGGAACTCAATTAGAATCACAGGAACTCAAATTATATTTATAAATAGCTTTTACAAAGCTTTACTTGTAAAAATTGAATAAAATCATCAGGTTGTGGAATTAGCTTTAGACACATGAAAACTTTAATGGGTTCCACTTGACATTGTGAAATGCACTATAGTATTTGGCCCATCCATATTAAGTGGCCTAAATGCTCCGAAATCCTGCACTTGTTGAGTTTCGGAAAAAATGTAAGACTGAGCAGTCTTAAGCTATTTTATCCCCATTAGACGTGTATGGAGAATACACTATTGGCTCTTGTAGAATATTAGAGGATTGAAGAAGCTTTAATGCTCGCTTCTCGTGTTGCATCATGAAAGTGCTTGCCCGAATGAAACACTATCAAAATCTCAGTCACAGATACCAGTTTTGTATAAAACCACCACAAAATTATTAATTTTCACTGCTGGAAACTGAAGTTTTGTCCATTACAGAATGAAACTCTGTAGATAATGTTTTGAGGAGATCTGTCACCCACCTTGCGGCTGCACTGCCTTGCCTCGGGCTCCACTCATCAATGCCAGGTTCATCTCATCTCCGGAGCATTGGAAGACTTCCACGTAGCGTTCTCCCATGTACTTCCTGTGGCACAACTGGGCAGCTAGGAGTGCCTTCTCGGCAGACATCATCTGGATGAAGGCTTCTCCAGTTGGGTTTCCCTGAAAACCGACGATGACCAGATTTGATGGCAATCGTTTGATTCAACCAAAGCTTGTATGTTGTCCGAGTGTCTGTGTTCTCTTTGGCCATTTTTGTCAAAAGGTAATCTCATGGATGCATTGTAATCATTATTTGAGACATTAATGATGTATAATAAAACGCTGCAAAGAATAGCACAGTTCAATTGTTACCAGCTATCTTTATTTAACCCTCTAAGTTTAGTACATGTTCAGTAAATGCCTAAGTATGAGTCATAGATTGACGTAATAATATTATCAAATCATGAGTGCTGTGCCATTTCCCTTATTCCCTTGGCGACTCTTATTTTCTCACCTGCATTGTGAACACCATATGCACTCCATGTGGACGAATGTAGTTTGCCGTCTCTCCAAGAAACCTCATGATGTCCTCAATGGTTGCCTTGAAGGGTAGGCCCCGCATCCGGATGCAGTCTCGTATCATGCCACAGGTTATGAGTTGTTGGGGTACAAAGGCAGCTGGGTGTGGCTGGGGTACCAGGTGAGCTGGGGGTGGAGGGATAATATTGGGCACCATGACATTGGCGGGGGGTGGTCCCTCGGGTACCAAAGGCTCCGAGTGAAGACGGGATAGAACCTGTCCAGTGGATACAAAGTAGATTAGCATTAATGTGGAGTTTGAGAATCTCGAAGCTGCTTTTTGTATCCCTGAAATTGTCCCTATTTCAGACGCAGCTTCTTTGGAAGTTGGAAGATCGTGGTTACGAAATTCACCTGAGCCACTCTTCCTACTGACTGAATTAACTTCAATGCCTGGCAACAGTTCACTTTTATCCAACTGTGCATCTGTTGACCAACAGCAAAAGAAAGTGAAAAGTGTCATCTCCATCAGAATCCAGAAGTCAGAACAAAAAGTCTGCCAGAAATGACTGATTGATGGATCTTGTATTTTAATACAGCTTGTGAATTTTAGATCACGTTTCAAAATAGCATGAAGGAAAAAGCGTTGGGATAGATGTCTGAATTACTACCTGCTGCACTTCAGCAGTTGTGCTACGGAAGATCTCAATGTATCTGTTCTTCAAGTAGTCCTTGTGTTTCTCCAAGGCCTTGTTGGCGACTTCCTCAGTGGAGAAGAGAACAAAAGCATCGCCCGTCATTTTACCGTTGCGCTGCTTGACAAACAATATACCTTCTTCACCACCAGACACAGGGATGGTAGGTCCAAAGAAATCGACCTGTAGGTAAAACAATGTCTTGATTTACAAAATAGTCTTGATAGACTGATGTGTGGTTAAGCGCAAACCAAAAAAAAAAATCCCTCTCACCTGGAAACAAACATATTACTGATATTTCAAACGTTCCTGGCATGAAAATGTTTTCTACAAATGCCTCATAAGCCCTTTCACCAATTGCAGTCTCCAAAGTGTTTAGGGAGGTTTGTTTGTTCTTCTCTGATGGAAGGTGTCATGAAGAGGGGTTAAATGTTCTCATGGTGTTTTCTAAGTTGTGTTTGAGGCCAAAAATAAACAGATGGTTGTGGAATCTGTTGATAGAATGACCGTCCATTTTATGGGGGGTACAATCTCTGTTCTAGCTGGATGCACTGCCGTCCACTGCCCTTTCCTGCAACCCTACCCTACACCGGTAGACTGGTTAGCCAAAGACACCTCATACTGAATGTTGACATGACCAAAAAACAGCCAAAATGCGAGTGAAAAGCTGTCAAAATGCAACAGAACCACCCAACATTCCACACCCTAGATACATAACCACCAAGCCCAGAATCCCGGTGTGAATATGATCAGTTGGTTGTCGGTAAACTTACATCCAGTTTACAACTGATTCGTTCGGGAATTTTTCTGCAGATACAAGTTTTGCTGGACTGTCCTGCAGAACACAGTTTGATCAGGGGTACAATAGTTACTTTCACACATTCAAGTCTTATGATGTTGGTTGTTCATTCTTATTGATTTATTTCTTGATTTCATTCTATTTACCTGGATGACCGGAAACATGCATCACTTTGTTGATTAATGCCATTTCAAATGCAGCTTTATTTCATGACTAAGCTTTTTTTCAACTTTTTTTCGTATTTTCCTCATTTTCCCCCTCAGATGTCCTGTTTTTTTTTACACTTCAGATCTACATTCCCATTGTTGCTGAAGTCAAAATTGGTAAGCAATTGTGTTTTAATCAGATTAAGTTTGAATGGTATTTTTATTCAAATGAGATTAATTTTGTGGGGGGAAAACCTTAATACAGCTGTTAACATTTGGTAAATAGGAAAACATATGTGTGTAATGATTAAAGCCAAATTCAGAATGATTAAAAAATGGCCTACCACTTCTCGAGCAGTTGCAGTGAATGGAAGTCCTCTCATCCGTACAATGATATGGCCATCATCTCTGGACAGAAACAGTGCTGCATCACGAGAAGTGCCTTCAAAGATAAATGATGAATTGGGTGGCAAATGAATTCCAAGACCAATGAGGAACAAAGTCAGTGTATTTTCATCAATGTAGCTCTGTTTGGTTTTGGTGTTGTTTTTTTTTTGTCTTATTGAATGGCGTCGTGGGATTCGAAGCCAGTCTCGGTTTTAGTTTTCAAATACCACTTAAAATAAAAAAAACCTTGGAACTTTTTTCAAGGTTACTTGAATCAAATGGCATATCTTCGTTCTTTGAACAATGCTTAGATTTGTTTTGTTTTGTGAATGGGCTTGATTTACTGCAACACTGATATAGGCATGTCATGGGCAAGAGTACGGCCAACCTTCATACTGCCACCATTTCCTACACATGGCTGGCTTTGTGTGCAAAGTGAAGTCCTGCGTAAGTTTTAATTTTGTGGTTGAAGCAGATGGAGAACCTTTCTAAATCACTTTTCATGAAATTCATTAAGTTAAATGATGTGAAAAAAACAATTAGTCTCACCTGCTGCAACTTTGATGAACTCGTCTCCCGTTCCCTTGAACACCTGCACAGAAAATATTTAATTGATGAATATTTGTTCATGCCAACAGTTCTTTAATAACATTAAGTTTGGTGGTATTGGGTGTAGTTAGTTATTAAATCTGGCTGCATTGATTCTACACTCTAGTACAAAATTCCTGATTATTCCATATTCCTAATTTGAAAACTTTAAATGGGTTTCTCGTATAGGATCTCCAAAACATTTGTGTAATTTTCTCCCAAAATTGGAATTAGCGCAAGCTTTGTAACTTATCGGCAAACTCTGAAAGGAACTACTCAAAATTTACGGCAGAAGTCATGGTACTTGGACTCCAAAAGGAATTAATATTACATGAACCTAAATTCTCCATCCAACAAGAAATGTACTTTAAGCCACAGACCTTTTTATCCTCAAGGACCTTGTTTGAAAATTCTACTGGTACTTCCTATGATTATACAGCTGAATAATTATCCATTGTGCATATTCAACCATATGGTTTGTGGAATTTTACAAGTGGGTGGGCCTACGTTGTCTAAATATACATGTATGCTCATAAAGGCTGTCAGGAGATCAAACGAGCTTTTTTCTAAAATGCTACGTCCGCCATTGCAGACGATGGTACAGGCAGAGCGGCGGAAAAATGGTTCGACGTATTTCGTAATTTGTATCAATCTGGTGTTTTGCATTTTAGTGGATTTTACAAAGAGAAAACAGTTGTATACAGTACGGTACATAACAGAGGAAACCTACCTCCACATATCGGTTACCAAGGTTGTGTCTGTGTCTCTGTAAAGCCATGTCTCGGTGCTGGGAAGATTCAAAATGAACCATCACTTCACCGTTCCTCCTACCATAGTGGTTCAAACACAATGCCACCCCACCTCTTCAAAAATAAACCAAACAAAGACAAGAAAAACATCGCTATCACAATGTGTACTTGTTGAAAAAAAGTGTGAATTGTACAACTGTAAAATACTTCAGCGCAGAGTCTGACATTACAAGGCCGATACCCTTCGCCGATCATGTGTGTTTTTATGGATTTATTATTTTGTTCAGTCATTTGTCTTTTGAGAATTCCTTTGGAATAGATGCTGGGCTAAGCGTGGGAACTCTTAGAATTCTGTTTGGATGATTTGCAGAAGAAGAAACCCAAATAATATCGCAGTACAAAATCCTATAGCTAGGCCTACACCCTCTCCAATTGTTATTTTATGAGTTTTGTCATGAAACCTTTGACTTGGAAGACTTTGATCCTGTACTTTTAAACAATATTACACTGTATTTAAAAAGGATGCATTTAAAATGTTTTTCCCAATTGGGATAATGTGACCTACAAAAAGTTGACTGTACTTTTTTTGGCTTGGAACCCGCCAAACGTGGTGCGTTTACAGAAACCTATGTACATGTAATTGTAAATTTTAACCTCTGGTTTCTGTGCAGTGGTCTGTCTTGCATGGCTGAGTTTGCATAAACCAGAGTTCTTTCAATTTTCCCACGCAAAAACAGACTAGACAAACGTTGACCATGAAATGGTTTCAGAAGAGTAGCAGTCCTAATCGCTCTGTCTGTCTTTTACTTCAGCAGTCGATTTCCTTCTAGTTTAGAGGCTAATGTATTTGTTGGGTCAAAAGCTAAGCCTAGCATAAAATGGCGCCGAGGTAAACCTAAGTCATGAAGTAGTGTAACTGCCATTTTCGCAATGGTTTGTCTAACCATTAGCCCACATACATACTTTTAGGACTGAAGCCCAACTTTTTTGTCATAAAAATAGATATTAATGTCTTCATTGCATATTTGGAACTGTAGCAGGCTGATCTAATTCCACGCTCTTCTCTCCAATCTTTCATGATTTCCTACGCTTTACCCGTTTTAGGTTTACCTAACATCTCAGCTACTTTTAATTTCTGGCTGATCAATAAAAATACTTCCTTTAGGAAAACTTAAAATTTCAGTTTAATTAAACTGAACAACTGAAATATACAAGCCACGCCGCTGAGCGAGACAAGACTGGTCAGGAAGACTCGGCAGATGTCTCTGATAATTGAATGTTTGTTTTGATTTTCTGTTATAAAGTACTTACTTTGCGATATTGAGGCCTTTAAAGAAGCGGAAGACATCTCTGTCTGAGGCTTGCCAGGGTAAACCTCGGGCTTTGACCACTGTGTTATCGGGCACAGTGTCCGTCTTGTCGCTGGGGGTAATCAATAAACAATCAGTTATCTATAAGCAGTTGACGAAATCGGATAAGCGAAGGCATATCACAAAAAGAAGCATAAAGTTGCGCTTCGCATCCACGAACAAAAGAGTACTATAAATCACTTAATGAAAGGGCTTATAAAATCCATTACTATATCAATTATAAAGTAAAATTTAATGCAGTAATTAATATTTCAAAAAATGAAAAGACCAAAATACTTACAATGTACCAGGTTCGTATTTTCTTCGGATTTGATCAGGATTTGTGAATCTGTGACCTAGGTGATAACACGAGAGAAAATTAATAATAGATATTCAAATTGTGTAGCACGGAGTTTTAGATTTATTTTTCTCGCAACCGAGGAATTTTCTGCCTAATTTAAATTGAAAGGCGATGCTGTATTTTTGTTCCGTATTGATTCGTTTTGTCTGCCACGTGCAAGTCGTTAGAATTATGCATGGGAACGCTCCATATGTTCCTGGATCAAATTATAAGCCCATATCTTTGTGCGCATAATTTTGTAACTGTATATGCCATGTGTAGGAAGGGCGCTTACACGCACCGAATAATAATGATACCATAATTTGCATGGTAATTTCTTTGTATCTACTGATTCTTGTAAGAAGTAACATATTAACTAGATATGGAAAAATGATGTACTGAATTGAGATATAATACTTCATTTTTCATTCTGATACTGTAAACGGTCACTCCTGATTATCCCCCTTTTACCGGTCAGTAATAAATCCATGTTTAATTCCGAGGATATGACCCACCGGCTAAGCTCTTCCGCGTTCCAAAGTACCTGTAAACTAGCCCACTTTTCATGTGCACGCTGTAGAATAAGGTTATACCATCTTGGAGATCCGATAATACAAAAGAAGTTGGTATAAAAAGCAAAGAAGCTTTTCCAGGGCATTGTATTGTTACAGCGCGCCCGTCTTGCAAGTATTAAGCACTGGTTTAACCTTGGGCAATACGTCTTCAGGGGCTCCTTTAACACGTTGTCATAGTCAATTACATAACAGGTATTATCCAGAGTTGTGACTGAAAGGATTCTGAATAGTGAAGCGGCTTTAGTTAACTCTTTAAAATGTTGGACTTACTTCCTTCAATAACCCAGTGAAACCCAACTTGTATAAGGTTATAATTCAAAAGTTGTACGTGTATTCCTTTACGAAGATTAGAAGCATTATTTACACAAGTAACGTTAAGAGCTTGGGAGACGAACGAGAAAATATGTTCAAGTTTGACAGTAAAGAAAGATTGACATCTGGTGTTGTATCATTTAGAACCAAATCTATTTCCTGTACAGTATAAGTGTGGTTTTTACCTGGGTTGCAAGTGTTACGGATAGTCAATGGACAAACAATACTTCGTCCTCTTAATCTGTGTCCTTCATAACTGAATTGCACTGCCAATGACCCAGCCTGTGGTTTATTAAAACATGCTTAAAAATTAGTAACAACGATCTGTCAAAGGCACGCTACCTGAAACAAACTTATTTTGTCATTCATTTCCCTCAGGAGAGGCTTCAAACCCTACCTTCGTGAATGAGCCTCTGTACAATGCTAGCCATGACTCGGCACTCGTCCAGCCCCGTTTCCGTGAAGTTGTAGTTCCCTGTGTCGATCTTCAAATCTGATGAAAGTCTTTTGGTCAAGGAATGCGTTCCTTTTGGAGAATACTCAATGCAAAATATGTCCCGCGAATAATTTTGCCTCAGGTATCCGGGAAAGTGGCGGCTCCCTCCCCCAAGGGACACGGCCACAATTTCTTTGTTGTTGAAGCTGACAAAAGATTAATTTCGTCGGGTCTAGGCGACCAAGGTCAAAAAGACTTTGAATTCAAATCCACCGAAGCTGGATTGCTGCAGATTATGAGTCGAGTGTGCTTCAATAACATTGGCTCCGGCAGATCGAGGAAAAGGGGTGTTGCGGTTGTGCCTCATTCATTTAGAATCGAGTAAGGATTTCGTCCGGGGTGTTCGAGTTTTTGGTACAATCATACGACGGATACACGAGAAACGCAACAATAATATATTATTACGTATGGTGTACACAATGCTAGCCGAATTTTTGACTAGGGAATTTATTCGAAAAATATTAAGTTGGCAATGTTCATTAAACTGGCAAACTCCAAGTTTCAAGGAGCAAAACGTACATTTATTCCAGTTGATGTAGGCCAACAAGTATATAAAGGCAACTGCTACTGTTGTAGGCCTACAGGGAAGAACAGTTTGGTTAAGTCATCAGGAAAATCGGTAACTGTTTTGGAAAACTACAGAAAAAAATACACAGGGTCAATAGCGTAATGGAATTTTGTAATCGGGCAATAACAGGGCTTTAAAATCGTCCCCTCTGTGTCGTATCAGTGGTGCTCAATGAATACACACCAACTTTCCTGTTTTGCTATACTTTCGTTTTTCTAACAAATCACAGACAGCTATTGTTATTTGTCCCTGGGACATCGACAGAGCTACCGTGATGGATGGAAAGTCGCGGTTCACGGCGCTAACTGTCCAAGAATGCCAAGAGTTTTCACAATTTATGACTTGTCCTGAGCTTGTAAACAAAATGATTTTGGGGAGAGACAAAAAGTATCTATATTAGGCGGTAAGTACCTGAAAAAAGAGCAGTCTGGTTGTATAGTTGTGAAGTTGTGTGTTGCGGAGAAGAATGCCCCGTAGAAGGACGTGACCTCGCGGATATAGGACTCTGGCGTGAACTATTCGATAGTTATTGAGGAGGTATTCTGGCGACAACAATTTGACATGGTATGCACCGTGAAAGTAACAATCGATTATCGATACCTTGGATTGGTAACACGACATTACGTTTGTTCGGTCGTGTTGCCATGTCCGCCACGCGTGACTACACGATCGATTAGGATCTATTGTATCCCGTAAATCTGAAAAAAAATCCAAGAACAACGGAAGAAAAGTAATCAACTTTTACCTCCGCATTGCAACTATATATGTACGATATATCCGTGATAAAATATTAAAAACAAAGCGTTCAAAGCTGAAATCCGACATTGTGAGGTTTAATAGTTCAATTTTTTCCACTACACTTGACCTGGAACATTTGACCTAACCGTATAATATAGGCTATTATGATATGTCTCGACCTGAGAGCGATGTACTTGGTTTTTTTCTGAGTTATCCAAAACTGAAACTTCATTGTTGGCATGACACACAGTGAAAATGGTCATAATCTACTTCAACAATCAAGACTCGGAGGGACTTTATCAGAGGCCCCTGGTTGGGGAGAAGCAAAGGATATCACATATCGTCGAGCACAGTTGAAAAGTTAAATGAGTTGCCATTCAATACGAGCTACCAGTCTAAACAAGTCATTCCATAGTCAAAAAGGGCTACCATCAGTCAAAAATGACGTACCACCTGAAATGGATTTGACATTGCTTACTAGATGACTGACTCTCAGCTAATGTCTGCGCTCTATTGGGACAAAATTTAAAAATGACATCGCAAAACTTTCTGCCTGGTTGTGTGCCTTTCAAAAGGTGAAAGCTATTTGTTTAGTAAAACTTTGCAGCATATTGGATAGCGGACACTGTTACCAGACCTGACTAAATGTAGACGGAACAATGTGTGGTTTCATATCCACAAATTACTAGTGCGATTTATGTATTTTCTGTACTCTCAAAAAGGTTGAGAAACCATTCAGGGCGGATTATCTTTGTCTGATAGTTTTTTCAACTGCTCCTTTCATATCGAGTATTTGCTGAAGTCACGATGCGACCATTTAATATGATTGTATAAGTCAGTTGGTGCGATGAAGTTCGCCTTGACAAGACGCAGGGATGACCAAGCTCAAGTCGTCCCGGAGTAAGCGTTTTACCAAGCCTGATTTAGTAAATAAGCATGCATTGGTCTATTTTTAGAAAGTAAAGGCTATGAAAAGATCTGGGCATCCTACAGAAGCTGGATTATCACTGATGCCAAGTTATAAAAATTGGCCTTGCTCAACAAAATACCCAGGTCAGCCTACCGTAAAGCAACCGACAAACTTTTCATACACAAAGACATTGAGTGTATTGCCTGAATACACTGCAGGGTTCTAGAACGTAGTTATACCAGGAATAAAGGGTGGGATTAAGTTCTTGATCAACTAAACAAATATATTCGTGCATTTTGTAGCTACGCTTTTGGATCACTTGAATGATATTTGTCAAAGATTTGAGATCTGTCACAGTTGCATTTTAAGCACTCTACGTAAAATACGTCCGTGCGCGTAGCACAAGATAAGAGGACTGAGGAATTTCGATCCAGGCTTCATGCAATTAAATTTTAGCGTTTCTAATGTCTTACGTTTTCTGGTATCATGATGAAAGTATTTTGTGACACTAAAATTGTGGTCTGTGATATGCTAACCGGAAACGCTCGTTCATTTCTGTTCACACATGTTGATGAATCTGTTACATTCGGGATAAGTTCACCTTTTACGCTCCATGATGGGCCCCAGGCGCTCGACCAATTTCGTTGTCAGGTTACCTTTTAAGGTAAAGTCAACCAAGTGCGTTTCCTCATTCACAGTGAGCATTGAAGCATGTTCAATGTCATCACGATCGTACCAAGCCTGTACTTTTTTTATTTCATCGGGATGACTGTTGAGTTTTGCTTTGAATAGCTATATGCGAGGTCAAATTACAGTTGAATCGACTTTTTTTTAAACGGGAGGGACTCGTATTATGAAAGACATCCACTGGAACGCAACCTGTTCCACATACGCGTACATGTATGCCAGTTCAAATCTTCATTGAAAAGGTAAAAAAATCCTTCAGCAATCCGTGCGATTGTCAAATCGCTAAGCAAATGCAGCATTAGGTCACATTTCATCCGAACAATTTTCTTTTGGAATTGTATTTTTCAAACGAGTGCACTGCCCTCAACCAATTTTAGTCTCTTCGAAAGCCCGTGAGATCCGTCATGTATGAAAATAGCTACATTAATTTACGAGCTTGATTACCACAACTCATATACACTGTACGTGTATTTCAGCGAGGACACCAGTGAAGCTGTTCTCGTTGTGCTCAACCCCAGCGAGAGGTCCTGCTATTAAACGGAGCGACCTTGGTGCTTAAATAACACATACACGAAGCCTAAAGCCAACCAGTTGAGTTCACAGTAACCAGAACAGTGAATCAGCACAAACAGGGATTTTACACAGAACAAAGGTTTCATGAGCTTCCATTTAAGGAGGAAAAAGTACGCGAATAGAACAAAAACCACCGACGGAAAACTCATTCTACAAAGTGACATGGTCGGTGACTTGTTTTGGTTTAGTGGATTGCGTGAGTGCCAGTCTGAAATGTGCTTCTGGAACCGTCCTGTTCTTGCCCACTAAAAGGAAACAGAATACACGTATTCAACAATTCGTTCCCTGCAATGCAGCATTAGTTGGCGAGGGCCAGACATGATTAATGAGATATTGCTTCGGGGAACATACAAGAATCAAACAATCCTACTGGACGTTTTTCGGGGCCTTTGGTGTAGCAAAGCAGAAAACGAATTACCATGCAGACACAGCCGAAATACATTTTTTTGTTCTTGCAAAAAAGATATTACTTCTAGTTGTCTCTCGGATTTTGTACACCAGCGAAAGAAGACAATTGGTCGTTGGTGCCACCTCTGTCGTCTCGGCCGACGTAGGATGAAAGGGGTCTTACATGCGGAACAGGATTCACACGAACGTGGACGAACTGATTCTAATCGATATGCGGGGGAATTTTTCTCGCCTTATGGTCCCCTCTCTGTGTACAATGGAACGGCTGTTTGGCAGCCCAGGGAACGATCAATAATTCTAACCTTCGTTTTGTCGTTTCTTTTAACGCCATTTTGAGAAAGAAAAGGGGTGAGCGTGTCTAGATTTTCTTGTGGTGTCAAAGGCGCATCTGTGATTGTCGATGACGAACATATTTACTTTCACAGCATTTGGTATCGATACCGTGGGTTTACATTAGGCCTCCTATTTCTTACCGTTCTTTAGGAATCGACCCGCTCAATCGAGATCACTAAAGCGATTGCAGGAGGTAGCCCACATGATTGTACCTCTAAAATTCACTAGACAACATCTCGATTTTACTTTACTTTGATATATCCACGAGGAGCGGTGTATGTTTTATTCCTCCGTGTTTCCACCAATGAGATGCAGTCTTATCGGACACTGAACTATAACCGGCAGGGGCCCGTGTCAATATTACCCCAGCGTTTGTTAGAACAAACAGGCAAACAGTGCCTGATAAATTAACACAAAAGCCCTGAACGGCAACAGGTGTTGTGGCCTCGTGTGAATAAGTAGTTTGGTGCACATCATAATTTATGCGGCAGTGGTAGAATTACTGTGTGAAACATGAAGACTGCATGGGTTGCAGCGACATATGCTAAGCTGAAATACTTCTTAAAATTGGGGAAAAAGATACGCAAAATTGACAGGCCAGTGCTCGAACCAGTAAATCTTTTTTTGTGTGTACATGTATATGGATTCAAGGTACCAGGGGCCACGAGACCTTTCACATAGTAATGAACTGTAGCCAGCCTTTAAAATTCTCGCACACAGCAGTTTTCGTTTAACGCAGGTTAAAAAAAATTGTAACACAAAAATTTCCCGGCGGGGATCTCTAAGATCTTTTTTGTCTATTGCTGGAATGACCTGTGATACTGCTCCGTTCCAGTCTATAGCATTTTTCGTGTTCATGAGGCCGGAATCAGCTTGTTTCACGCACCGTAACCTCGAGCCAGAAATATTCAAGCAACTTCAACAGCTATGTGAATACTGGTTTACCAGACACGTGGCGCATGCGTAAACAAGTACATGTATACCAGCAAAACTGTATTGAAACGGAGCACATTAATATCACTGTTGGGTTGTTAATGACTTCACTTTTACCCTTGATATCAAACACTGGTTCCAGTAAACAAAAATGAAAACATACCATTGAAGTCACATTCTAAAAAGGATACAATCTGCCATGTCTTTGACTGTTGTGATGGTCGTAGCTCCGGCATGGAACTTCTGAAACTCTTTCCTCAGATCGAAGAAGGAGTAGAAAAAGTCTGGTAACTCGACGTTCTTGTTGAGTGCCTGTGGGTGAAGGCATTGGCGAATGTGGAGTTGGCCGTCAGTCAGAAGACAAAAGGTGTTACCCTGACTGAGATTGAGTTCCCGGTAAAGAAACTCCTCGAACTGGAGAATGGAAAAAGTGGGAGGGTAAAAGAGGGTGAGTGTTCAAGTGTCTGAGATCGGTGAATTGTTTGAGGTCAAGTTTCGGAAATTATACTTTAAGGAAACCTTTGTCAATTTAAAATGTAAAAGTTCAGAGGACATTCTCCAGAGTGCGCTGTCAACAATTCTACAACGCACTGGCACCGCGTACATAGAGCGAGCTGAACAGTTTTGTTATTCTAAACATTTCCACCGGACGATCCAAAAGCGGTCAAGTTCCACTTGACTTTGCTACATTTACACTTAAACACCAGGTGACATGCATATATGGCCCCTCCGCGGGCATGGGGACTTAAACACCAGGTGAAATGTATGTATGGACCCTACGTGGGCCATGGGGACTTAAACAAGATTCTCTTGGAGAAAAATATTGGTGTTTCAGAAATGATAAGGGCGTTCGAGAAAAGGTTGTCAATGCTGAGATCGGGTGGTGTCAGTAGGGCGTCTGCCTGGGTTGAAGTCGAACCAAGGTCAGGCAAGTTTGAAATCATTGCCAATTAGCTTGAATCACCATTAACGCGACTTCCTTCCATTGTGTAGGTTTCTGTTCTAATATAGCATTGCTTTGTTTAGGTATTTTCTGTAGTGTGGATACAGCTAACAATAATTCAGACATTTCCGCCAAGCCCACTGCAATTTGTATGAAACCCCGCCCACGTGAAATACCCCAAAGTCCAGTTCTCAAAAACCATGCTATGGTGGACACGGGGCAGTTGCTTGAAAAACATCCAGGGGCGATGAAAAGGTTTTGTCTACCGTGGATTCATGCGCAAATCGTGCGGGAGACAAACAAGATCCGAAAACATGGCCGAACTGGAAGTTTATTTAGATGATAATTAATCAGATAAATCTGGAAGGAAAGGAGGGAAAACTTTCCTTTGTGTTGAAAGCTTGATACAAAAGTTGGATGAGGACTGAGCTTGTCTGCCTCTCCAAGGGGTCAGTCAATCAGATGACCGCAGTATCAATAGACCATTGAAAAGAACTGACCCAGTAGTATCAGGAGACCTTTGAATGACCTTTCAATTAGAATTCATGCCTGGGTGCATCAGCCAATAGCGAAGGTTGATAGGGCGTAGGCGGATACAGAAACCGACGGGAATAGGCTGATTTTTCCCCGCTTTTCAACCAGTACAAATGCATTCAGGCTGCATCCGAATCTCTTGTCTAGAGCTAGGTCTAGGTCTTCGCTCCATTAGAAATGCGTGGAGACGCGCAGACAATGGACCTAGCCGTAGCTCTGGAAGCCCGTGTCGGACACAGACTTTGTTAACTGAAACAGCTACTTTAATCTTGAGATTCTGAAAATCATCAAATTGGTAATTCTAGAACTGCAGAATGAACCAAGAGAGATAATAGAAATAAAGCAAAGAAGGAGGTCGTGGATGTCACACCGTAGATGCCACTTCGATAATTTCCCCCCAATTTCAAAAACAAAACAAACATATCTACGTAGGTTCTCCACTCTACCACATCAATTTTCATTTGAGCCCTAACCTGCAATAATATTACAATATTCAGCAGTGTGAAACATTCTGTTAGATTTAGTTGTATCTTTACACCATGGCAGAAAAAAAACTATTTTTGAGGTATGTGCTAAATTCTGCTGACTCCGGCAGAATTTGAAATGAAAACTCGATTTGTTCCTTTTATCGTCTCGCCCCAAAATGACCATTGGATAGAGCGAATTTCACTCATTTTCATTATGTTTACAGACAGATGCATGGGACATTTAAACAGCGTGGCTATACCAGCATGAACGGGCACAAAGGTCTAAAAATGGAGGTACCACGAGAAGTGTACCAGCAGCTTTTTGTCGTTTGATGTCCGCCAAACCTTTGTGTAATTTGTTGCCATAATCATCGGGGTTTTTTTTTCGTATTCAAAACCAAGGGACATACATTAACTCAGATCTCTCTGTCACCTTACAGCAAATGGTTTTATACTGGCCTAGAGCCATGACACCTTCTTCATGAAACACCATAAATTTGGATCTAGGGTAGTTGAAAAAGTACTTTAACATAACAGCCTAACACACATTGGTGAGGGAACTAGCCAAGGAAAATGGCTCCCAGGATGCACTGCATTAAAATGTAAATAATACACACATGTAAACCGTATGGCAAGTCGCTAAGGCTGGAGACATCAGACATGGACATATATATCTTCATTACTTCATTGATCGGTGAATTCATTAAAATAAAAGCTATACCCGTATACATTACATTTCCATCAACATGCATATCATTTGGAGGGACAAAGGTAAGTGTTTATTTTTAGCTGGTACACTTAACCATAAGGTAAAGAGACGGCTACAAAGTATCTGCATATGGCGCGGTACCCTGTCTTTTTGTTTATAAGCCATCGAGTAAAATAATATGTTAAAAAAGTCCCCCTCTCACGATCTCTTTTATGGTGTGCCTTGTGCTTCAAAAACGACTTGTTTCAAATTTGGGTTAATTCAATATTTATGCTCCAGGCCAGAGAGTAGCCTTCAACTCCAAAAACTATTTTGGGCCGTATTTAGGCCTCACCCCTGTGCACAGAAGTAGGACCGTTCCGTCATTAATATACTTTTATTCACCTACTCTCTCCTCTAAAATACGTTATTCGGAGATTGCCTTACGAGATAAGCTCTGAGGAATAATTTAGAATTTTGCAATTTCGTGAACGAAATGTTTCCGTGGCGGAAAACATCGTTTGTGTAATAAGCTATTAGGATGTCGCAAAATACACAAACAGGCTCACTTCGACGTACGGCGTTACGACAACAACGGCTGGCGGGCAACACGTGTTGGCCAGCTCAATAACCCAACCGTAGCGGGACCTTCGCGACACGCGCCCCGGCAAATTTGATAGCTTTACACCGCTATTAGAGGCCTCTTTGTGGGCTGCTGTAATTAAATTTGAGCGCACGTCTCGCCATACTCTCTAGACAATATTTTTGGGAGGGTTGTACAACCTATCAAAGGGATGTAATTACAAGCCCATGCAATTCACTCATTCTATCCTGTTTCTAGAAGGATATGCTTCGTTACCTGTTTATATTAATTACAAGAAGCTTTCATTACAAGCGATCCATTTTACATATGAAATTTTAATGACATATTTATGCCCCTAATGCCTCAAATTGTGCTTTTCGACTGGTGCAATAACTGAAGATAAGCTCGATAACATATTGAATTATGCACTTTTATAATGTAGGTCTTGTTCTCGAACCGATGTTTCTTCGAAGAATACAACACATACTTCAAAATACATATTCATAGAATCTTTTCAGTATCAGTGTCGACGTTTGTTCTCAAACACCATTCTAGACTGTATTCACTGATAATCAGATTCTTTTAATTTTTATCGATTCAGCTTTAGCTGAAGATACAAAAACTGGGCCTTTCAATGAAGGCTTTGCATGATGGTCCCTCAGTAGCGGCCTACCAGTGACCTCAATAATTCAGTTTGATTAGGAATAACTTTCCAAAATAAAGACCAAACCCGGAGGTGTCGTGGAGGTAGCATCTTAGTAAGGTTCTTCTGGTAAGTCGGTACCCACAGCTGGATCAATTTACATTCATACACCTAAATTTTGACTTTTGTCCATATTTAACCCTAACCCCCTATACGCACCATTGGAATCCTGCATAACTTCGTTGGGTTCAGCATGGTTAGAGTTAAAGGTCACAGCTTAGATACATGTAACTCTCACAGCGAGAGACCCTTGCTATGGGTTAAAATTTGCAGCAAGATATTGAAAATGAAACAAAAAGTATGTCACCACTTTATACACATAAGACCTTTTCTTCACATTTTGTGTCTATTTAAATCGCACATTCAGTGAGGATTTTCGTCCTCTTCGCTTATTTCATCGCTCCCCAATGACCCACTCTGTCGAAGTTCTGTGCCCGTTCTTCGAAATATTCTTTGAAACCAGGCGGTGCATGGAGCCCCAACCGCCCCTCTTACATCACCCCCTTGCAGCCACATAAGTGTCCGGGCTATCCCGCCTGATGAGAATACTAAGAAATTGTCCGTTTATGCAACAGTACAAACTCACTACTCGATGCCGTGAAATACAACTTATTGTTATTTATTCAGGTATTACCTTCTAAGATTAAAAGGACAAAAAGGTCCTCTACAAATGGATGCATGGTGAAGGACGGCATTTCAATCCGAGGTGAATGACCCTTGATGCATCATGAGGTATAAATAAGCATACACTTTCATATCTCCATCCATATGCCAACAAAGGCGAGCAATCTTACAACAATGCTATTGAAATTAAGGTTAACCAAATTGAACATAATAATCGAATAAAAAGTTAAAGAAAAAATATATTTCTCTCACTGGTAGATTTGACATTATTTTCTTCGAGTAAAAACTAGTTGACTGTCAATGAAACGATAGTTCACGGGAAGACAGGTTGTTTTTGACTGACCTGTTGGAGCACTTTCTCCATCTTGGCGGCGCCCTTGAAGACTTCTCGTTGGACTCCCAGTGCCTTGCACAGGTCCTCAGATACCTCAACATTGTCCGAGTCTGGTCTAACGAAGGACTGCTTGATGAACCCAACCAACTGTGGAGTATCAAAATAAGAATTGCTCAAGGCAAGGGAGCACTAAAAACGGTGAAAGCAGCAACTAAAATTTCTGGTGTACAATTTTATTTGATCTCGAAATCGACCCTCCTTCAACCTTCCACGATCCTTCGAAAGCCATCAGGAGGTTTTGAAAGACATTACCAGAACGAAGAAGGCAAAGCCTAGTCCTTATTACTGAACACGAAGATCGATCCTCTTGAAACTCTAGGCGCAATCAATGTGCCATTAAGCTCAGCAGAGTCGTGGATTTCGATGGAGTCTAAAGGATTTGGGATGGTGAAAACTGTTACAATTTAAATTCCTTGCAACATAATTTCGAATAAATAACCACAAGCACCTAACTTTCCTTCACAAACAACACCAGGACCCACCTTTAAAAATCTTAATTTTCTGCTTTACTTCCGTTTTTTTCGCTGTAGATTCAGTCTTGCAGTGTCTGCTAAATTACTCGTTATTGAACCCTTTTGGTTGGGATATTGATATTTTCAGTTATTTAATTAAGTACGAGTTTTGTTATGTCTCTATTAGTACATATTTTATTGGGAATGACTTATCAGAGAACAATTCAGCAAAATTCTGATGTTCGAGTGGGCGTTTGTTGTAAAATTTATTTAGATTTGCACTGAAAATTTACATGATCTGCAAAAGAAATTTTAGACATAAAAAGAAGAAAAATTCTGTACGAATTTATATATACAATGAGATATACAAAAGCTTTAGTGTTTCTTTAGAAATGAATGGGCAGAAGTACCTCAGTAAATTTCACAACTGATAAAAGATGCCATCAAGGGGCACCAAATCACGCCATCCCTACCTCCTCTAAGTGGTTTACAGTACCCATGGAGGAGATAGCGTCCATCACGCTTCAAGCATAAAGGACTGACTCCCCCTCAATGGGTACTGCGGGGGGCAATGCTTCCCTCGTAGGGCGCCAATGGGGGTATAACAATGCCCCTCTGGGTATTAAGAACCCTGCGTGGGTTTACTGCTAACGACAATAGCTTTGGGAAAAAATGGCATGAAAGAGGGGCGTGGACATTGTAAAATGTCGTCCCAGGAAAACCCCCTCAAAAATGTGAAAAATATAATGCATTTGTTTTTGCTCCAGTGGGGATTAATGTAATGATCTCGCATGGGCACGGATCCTCCACATGAAAACAATTTGATGGAAACTGGGGTTCTGAGTTTATTTAATCTGCCTTGTTGGGAACACAGTAGGCATATGCTGTACATTTGATCAACATAATTACACCAGAAAATCAAGCATACGAGGGTTCCCCACGGAAAACCATCAATGTTTACTTCACTTGTTTGAGGAGAGTATTAGTGAAATCACGATTACCACTGTTAGATTCCGTCTTCCAGTGTATGGTCGTTTTATGACAGTCATATCACCGCGCAAGGTAAACTACTTACTTGTTCTTTCTAAGGATACGAGTTAATTTAATTATTAAAAGTGCTTTAAGTTTTTTAACATCGAATATCTTATTCAGAAATATTATTCAGTAGCATACCAGTAACTTTTTTAATCTACAGCCTTGAAATTTTATTGCCTAGAATAACAGCTACACTAATGTGAAGATTGCGAAAACTTTGGTGGGAGAAGAACCGGAGAAGCTAACCTACACAAAACAATAACCTATATGCGTTGCTGCAGTGCCCGAATTTTGACCAAATGTAACAGAAAGGTCAACTTATAGCGGTCGCGTTTTGCTCACTTTCTTCAAAGTGGTCATGCATGCTTTGTTTAAATATTAGCTTGCATGAAACATCTTTTATATCGTCAGTGACAATTTAGTGAAAAAGTGGTTTACTGTTAGTGTTTGAAATTGATAAACGATTGTAGCACGAAAGTACCAGATGGTTTTATCGCACGATGTATCTACAACGACCCATTTGTGACCCCAAGTGACTATCCATACCACTTTATCATAAACAATAATCAAAACAACTTTCCATTGTTGGCAAATCCGCCCAGTTTTCTGCTTTTCTGGCCGATTAAACATTCTGTATGCTTTCACCACCACACACGCTGAAAGACTCCTACGTGTGTAGCTGCTTGTACAAGTGAGTCGAATTAACTCACCTTGTTTGTCTCAACATCAATGACACCCCACACCAGCAAGACCAAGTCCGTTTCGTCCGTCCCAAGCAAAGCACCTCTCTGCCCAGCCGTAGTACAGAAAACTATCACCAAGTAATTATGTGCGTTTGCCATGGTCATCCAATGAGAAAAAAACTGGTTAAAAGCCTCAACCTCTAACTAACTTCTAAAGTTGCACGCGAAAGGAGAGAGAAAAATTCTACACCCAACTCCAAGCCAGATTAAAGTTCCCGCAACACCCAAGTGGAGTGCGTACCACACCAGACTGTAGAATGCCTGTCTACCCGGCGACTCTCGGTTCCCTCTCCCGGTCAGAGATGACGATGAAAACCAGTGATCAGCTTGCAAGGAAAATCTGTTTGAATAAGGTTAGCTACCATAACACGTAAGAGACAGGCCCCGTGGCCAATCCCTATTGTTCTTCTCTCATGCCGATTGGACCATCCGGGTATTACGTGGCACATCAGTTGAAAAGAGACGTAGAGACAAACCGGGGGCGTGGATAATTTCTCCTGCCTTATGCTGGACTACACCAGCGCTCCACCAAACAGTTCTAGCCTGGCAAACCACTTGTTGCGCCTACGACGTGCTGGATACCAGCATTTAATTCTAAAGGCACACAGTCTATTGAAATTGTAAATAAAAGACGCATTGAGCTTGCGCTGTTGGGCGACCTCGGTTCTAACAATGCTTGGTCAATCAAGTGTGACCACGTGTTGAAATGCTGGGAATCCCTTTGCACGGAAAGAATCCAGTCATGCTGAACAACTTCAAAACAATTTTTTGTTGTTGTGTTATACCAGCATATTTTCCCCGGGGTCAATCCAAATTTTCCATCACAAAACCCCACTCAGTGCCTTCGTCGAGGTCCCTTTGCCGGAGGAGACAAACAACCCAAAAAAGTCACAAAAATTAAGCCACGGTCGTCTTGGTATGGAAAACATTGGCAGCTGTCGTGATGGCCACTTAAAACAGTGGTATTATTACGTAAATAGCTTATTCCGGGATGTATGATAACAGTAATCCCATACGGGTTGACTTCGTATATTCACATGTACATGTATTCTGGAACTGAAGTGGACTTTGAAACCTTCCACCTAATTGATAATACCTTGTGCCATGTAATATACATGTCGTTTAATCTCAGATAAAATTCACTTATAAATGTGAATTATACTTATCGGCATCCTTTAATGATGTTGCTTCTGTCGTATCTTTAGGAAGAGTCGTGTTCTTGAAATAAACTGGTGTACATTGTTGATTTATAACATGAGACCCATAGGGTTCTTCTTCTTCTTTTTCAAATAATAGGGGAAAAGAATTTATTTTTTGTGCTTGACAATTTTAACTTCTCAGTTCGTGAAAATGAAATTCCAGGCAAAAAATACATCGTGTATTTATTTAGTATGTTATATTAAATTTGGGCTAATTATCATTTTGTCAGGGGCGGATTCTGCCCCCAAGAACTCCGCTGTCACATGCCCGATCATTAAACTTAGCATGCATACATGTAAAGACCTTAACTTTCAGATGAGAAGTTTCAGCCAGCATCCATCTCTTGTCTAGAGCTAGGTCTAGGTCTTTGCTCATTGGAAATGCGTGGAGACGCGCAGGCAATAGACCTAGCCGTAGCTCTGGAAGCCTGTTGGGGACAGCCTCAATTTAATGTGACTTATAGGGTTTTATTGTTAGCTGAAGTTTGCACCAAAGTAAATTTTTTGGGCAGTATGTATCGGCAGTACTGCAAGGGGCACACAATTATGACCTTTCATTTACCCAAACCAAGTAACGTGCATGGTATCGATTCTAACATACCCGCACTTTTCCCTCTTTGTTCTGCGAATGTTCCTGAGAGATTAAAACAAAAATACATTTTGAATTGAAACCTTGGCCTCTCCCCAGCCAGCAAAAGAAATGTGCTGGTTGTTCCAACCCCTACCAATTTCATCAACCTGTTCGCTAATGGATGCTACTTTCGATGGGAGCCTACAAAGTAAAACACAAAATGGCCACTCGGTTGGCTGTGAAGCAAGAGGAACTTCGGGATTTATACATGTAATTGGACAGACAACGGGACATAGAAATCGACTTGAAATGGAACAGAATATAAAACCTACTAAACTTTTCAATGTGGTCTACCCGTTACACCCCAAAACACTCCCTTCTTCAATAAATACACAATACGTTTTTGGCATAAAAATCTGCTCTTGTTTTGCCTTGTGGGTAACATTGCATAGATTCTTTACAGAAAAGTAATGACGAATCTAATCAGTAACTGTAAAATGGAAAGTTAAGTACAATTATATCTAAAAAGTTTTTTATTCTTTTTATTCAATTTTTGCCTTTTTCAGTGTAATCACTGATGCAGAATATCTTTGTCACGCATGTATAATTTTATCTATTCGAGTTGATGACGTTCACAGTACGTTTATTCAGAAATGATCGGAATTCAACTAAGTTTGTGAGTACAATTGCCTAATTTGTTGCCGATAATAATCAGGTAAGTTTTGACCTATACGTGGGCGGCTGGTACTCGATCTGTGAATGGCATTACACTACGTTGGATTTGACCAAAGGAGATGGGTGGATAGTATAAACGAACACTGGCAAAAAGTGCAATCATTAAACACAGGGCAGAAGTGTGGGATTTCTAGTCGTTCATTTGAAAGAAATTATTTTAATGTCTCAATGTAGTGAAAACACTTTAAATTCAGCCACCTGGGATGCATTATCAATTACTTTGTCGTGAACTCCGGCATTGCTCATGCACGGTACACCGCGGAACTTGTGCAAGGAAGTGAGATGTGTTGTGTGTTTGTTTGGCAAATTTCATTAATCCCTTTAAGGGTTAAGAAGTTTTTCTGTTCCATTCGAGGATGCCATAAAATGTCTACATGTATATTGCCACAAGCTTAATTGGAAAAAGGTGAACGGTTCAATCTCACTCTGACAGTGGAAAAGATTCTAAAGGGGGCAGTAAGCTCTGTTGGGCAGATGAGTACGTGGGGAGAGGGTTAATAATTACAAAAGACTTTTTCCTAGAGGCTAGCTTAAGCTGTAAAAGCAATGAAATCACTGTGATTGTTACTACGGAAGCTTAAATCGATCTATCTCCCTTATGCTTTGATGTGAAGTTTACGTCAGTGGAAGACGCGTTGTTGGTTTCACCGCTATTTGATTGCATGAAACCATGATAAAGACCCATCAAAACAAAAGTCAGTGGAGTTACGAACGGCACCGGATCCCCTTAAAAGCCACTTATTCTCTAAGTTACTTTGAACCCAATGAAAATTCCATGTCATTTTCTTGGGTCACCTCGAGGGAGATAACCCTGCCATTCTGTATTTATCCGATGAGTTGTAACAGATCATCTGCTCTCGTGTCAATGGGCGTCGCCTGGATTTTATCGGGGGGGGGGGGAAAGCAGCTTTCCTTCGCAACGAACTGCAGACTATTAATCACTAAAGAGGGTCAATTTTGATTTGTTCTAGACATATTGGTAATTTTAATCACCTTTATAATTTCTCTTTCGTTATTTTCTCTCAATTTGTTCTGTTCCTCTTGGGGGGGCACACCCTTTATACCCCTCGCAACGCCAATTCTCGTAGCCATCAATTTAATCATTCTGCGGACTGCTGGTCCACAATCCAGACAACCCCGATTTTTCCTGCCCCCTTAGACATTTTTTACACATGAAAGCATGCAAAATTATTTCAGTACAGAGCCCAGGTTTTGGTGCCTGTATCAATGCTATCGGGTTTTGTGGTTTTTTTCCTGTCCCGTTGCATATTTATTAAGTCAAGTAAGCGTACATATAGGACCAAGCTGACACGAACCCGCGCTGGGTGGAATGCCAAGATTTTGAAAACCCAGGTCATGTTCGCAGACCTGGACGAGTCGACGTCATGGACCTACGCTCTGTGATGTGGTGAGAAGTTCTCTCCTTTCAGACAATCAAACTTTGCGGCCTCACCGACCTGTGAAAAGTAAACTTGCCTAAATGAAAGCAGCGTATGGTGCCGAGCCGTGTTCAACCGGGCCAGTGTATGCAGTCAGTTTTGCTCAATAACTTATCTAATGCCCACTCGCGATTTTTCTCCAGAGGCAGTGCGCCAAATGGTAGCAGCGCCCTCCCTTGGTTTAGTATCACAAAATGAAAATGACATCTGCCGTAGGGGGCGGTAAAACAATTTCAGCCCCGGTTGTACATCGAAAATACCGGGCTTTGGGCAGAACTGCCGGAATCGCAAAACTGTCCACTTCAGGCCAAGGTCGGCTTTGATGTGCTGGTTTTGCTCAGAGATTACTTTCTTAAACTACTGCATCCATCTACAAACTTCCATGACTGTAGGGCAGTGTGCTAGAGGCAGGAATGGCAGAGTGGACTGACAGTAGGACGAGTGTCCAGCATCAGTCACGGGCCGATTGACGCCTGAGTCACCGTCAGTCGAGTGACTAGACATGCTGGGCCATGACCCATCATTCATGCCGAGAGGATTTGCATATATGTCAGTGCGTGTTAACACTTACATAACTGATCTGCAGAATGGCTCAGTCGACGCTTACAATTGCAGATTTACCACCTGAGATCTTGTCATATTTACTGTCAAAACTTTCAGGCCCAACGATAGCTAAGGTTGCAGTTGTGTGTAAACAGTTTTACGAAGCCTCAAGGATAGAAACTGTTTGGCAGCATCGATGCTTGGAAGGTAGGTATCCCTTGCCGTCTTCTTTCTGTTACTCTTTTGATTTTGAAAAAAAAAAGTGTTATTCTTTCATGTGTAAGGACTAGTCAGAGATTTCAAGTGTAAGCCTGCAGGTTTTAGACGCGACTTTCTTTGGGTTCTTTCCCATGGGAATGTTGGATGTAATTTGTGGATCCACACAATCAGTCAGTTAAAATACTGTTGGTAAATCCACTTCAATTAGTCAATCACCTTCACTCCTTAACTCAAGCCTCTGGAACCTTAAAAAGGGAAGTAGGCCTATGTCTGAACCAGTCATGACAGTAGTTTGGCCAACAGTGCAGCTTAATACGGGCAATTCACAGTAGCGCGCCTCCAGGAGTTTGCAACGTGCACTGGGTCGACAGATTCTGCGTATTGTGATTGGCCAACCCGTTGCAAACTCCTGGAGATGCGCTATTGTTAAATGCCTGTATTGGCTGATCATGCAGAGTTGCAGACGTCCATGTATCAAATGTACCCAATCGTACCCTCCCCCAAGTCTGTCTCTGCTTTTTGTGTTAGGAAAGACAGTAATCACTGGACTATACCAGTCATTTTATTAGTGACACGTTCAACGCACTGGGCCAAAAAGACACAGGCCACAAGCAGTGAACAATGACCAAGGAATGCTGTTGCTAAACTTACACTTTAATAGGAATACATGTACCGTAGTCAACATTAGACTAGATGCCTTGTGCTTGACTGATTTCATAACCACCTTTCCCTGGATATTCTCAGGGAAAATTAAACCCCCCAAATTTGTCTGTCTGTTTGAGAAATTGAAAACGTTCAAAGAGGTTTATAAATGTTACCATTATTTTTGTAACATTTAGGTCTTCATATGCTTAATCTCCCAAGGAAATTTCATTCTAAATTTAAAGCTTTGAACCTTTTGAGTTCTTTGCATTTGATTTCTTTTTTCAGATTATGGTTTCACTAATGATAACCTTCATGGATGGGGGATAGAATCATTCAGACTGATCTACACAAAGGGTACGATTTCTGGTGAACATTTCCATGCAGTGTGTATTATGTGGACATTTATTTGTGTCAATCTTATAAACTGTTTAGACCAGCCAACTGAAAAATAACATCGTGAGAAGACCATAAGAGCTTTGAAGCTTAAGACCTGAACCAGTATTTTGCAAGGATGCACTTTTGTTTACTTTTGTTTACATTACTTAAAAGGTTTTGTTTTTTTCCTATTTCGGAAGTATCAAGCACTTCATATAGTACATGTTATGTTTTCACTGACTTGAAGTGTTTTAACAATTGCTTGACTTCCCTGGAGGAAAAATTATTCAAATGAGCCTCAGTAACATGCCTCACCATCTTCAACATTAATGAATGAAGTTGTATAGACTGTACATCTTATGGAAGACGGAGCCATATCTAAGCTGAACTCATTTGATTAATCCTTTCATAGTGTTGTACCCCTATGGTCATGTTGTTGGAGTATGGCAACCCCAGATTGGTTCATATGGTGGTCTCGTAAGCATCAAGGTAAGACTCCAAAAAGATTGAATATCTCAATTCAAGTAAGAATAAGTAAGGAGATCATTCAAGTCGGTTTTGTTTTCTGATGGCATACAACTTGACCTTAAACGTGGTGTTTAACTTAAGATGCTGCAAAACTTGTTCATTAAGTGAGTTAGCCTGTTACAGGAAGTGAACTTAAAATAGAGTGGATGTAATTTGTATTTCTGTTTGTTGAATACATGCCTGAGTTGCAGGGAAGTTACCGTTCAGAATTTGTAACATTCAAGGGGGAACGTTGCTATTATGACAGTGTTTTATTGGCTCCTTTTGTTGCGGTTTTCGTCATTAGTCAGTACTTAAGCAGAATGCCACCGAATACCAACTTTTCATTTACCGTGACTGTGTCTCACAGGTTCGTGATGGCGCTTTACGAGCAACCCAACATTTACCCCCTGTGGACCCCCGAGTCTGTATGCCACTGCGTGTCAAGGATTTGTTCCAGATTCGGCTCTCGTCGGAGGGTTATGCTCAGATTGAGTGTTTGAAAGGACCAAAGGGACCCCACAAGTTACAGATATTGCCTGTAAGTTGTCAGTATCCTCTGCTAGTTTGGGGAGTAATTTCAATGCTTCAGTTGATAAGATTTTACAGCGGAGTTATTCCGGAAATTTCTCTCCTTGTCTTGTTTTCTTGATCTCAGGGCAATGGTGAAGATGAGTTTGTACTTAAGTGTTGCAAGCCAGAAAAGCACCGATATCATGAAAGCAGACAAGAGGTAGGCTGTATTATTCATATCATTTGTAAGGAAATGGAATTGGGTATAATTGCTCCGAGTCCCAAGTGTCAATATTGCGCGGTGATTTTTTATTATTTGTGTCTAGAGAATAAGCCAATTTCAAAATAAGCCTATTTTCCATTTCACTTGGCGTGACTTTCAGGAATTACAGGAATGGATCCGTGAAGAGATTGGTGCCAAAGAAGGAGAAATTCTTCTCTTCAATTACGATCACCACATAGAACTCCTACGCATCAAGTATATCATCCTCAACCAATATGAGTAAATAATCTTCGCTTGTACAATGTGAAGCAGTAGGCAGTACCACATGAAAAATAGTAGTGGTACCTACCCAAACCCCCTTCCCTCTGCTAACTTCTGAACCGACCCCCTCAACCTTAACTTGCTTAGAAAAAAAATGCACATGAGAAATGGCTTTCAATTTACAAGTTCCATTCTTGCAAATAATGCTGGGAAAAAATAGGAATCTGAAGGAAAAATCTGTGTGATACATCCAAATTTGCATCAGTCATCAGAAATTCTTGGTGACATTTAAAGGTGAATTGTTTATTTGTGACATTTGTGACATTCATGTGACAAGATTTGAATGTAGTAATTGTACAGTGTCTCTCTTCCCATTCTCCAGTGAAAACTGTGCCTTCCAAAAGTTAAATATTCCAGGTCCTCAGCCGAATGTCCCGATCCAACCGGGACTCTTCAAAGGTACTTACGGTGGACACGGCATTGAAATCATCTGCTTGAAATACGAGGAGGATAAGCTACGAGGGTATAAAGTCACTGTGAGTGGTCATTAACTGAGGTTTACAGTCAGTTCGCCCCATTTCCGCATCGCCCCTAACCACTTCGCCCCATCCCCACATCGCCCCATCTCCACATCGCCCCATCCCCACATCGCCCCATCTCCACATCGCCCCATCCCCACATCGCCCCATCTCCACGTCACCCCATCCTCACTTTGCCCCATCCCCACTTCGCCCCATCCCCACATCGCCCCATCTCCACTTCGCCCTGTCCGGAAATGGGGCAAAGTGGTTAGGGGTGAAGTGGCATGGGGCGAAGTGACCGACGCGCTTTACATGTAGTTTAATGAAGACAAATCTAAGTACTGCTTAATGGATGGATGGATTAGCACCCATTGATTGTACTGCATTTGGTTGGTTCAGGGAACCTTCCTGGATTACATTTCAGTGACATAAATTCAACTTAATTTTCAGTTGTGTGTCTCTTTTGCTTCACCCCCAAATGCTAAGTGAGTGGTTTGGAAGTTCTTTCCAACAAATAGTTTAAAATGAACAAAAATGGACTACCAAGTTTGAGGGGAGCAGTACATCGAAGTTGGGGGGAAAGAAACTGAAAACTGATCAGTAATTCAGAAAGAGAACAGGCTTAGCCATTTCTACCAATTACAGGTGCTTCACTGGAATCGTTCCACTATTCAAAATCTCCATTCCCTCAGAAAAAATGTTTGAAGTTGTGACGATGACAATTTTGCCATATCCAGGGTGACCCCAATGTACCAGCCTGTCAGCTTAGCATTGAGGTTCACCTGGAGGAACCCATGGTGTTAACCAAGGCAGAACAGGAGACTCTAGCCTTGGTTGAATCGGTTGACAAGGACAGTGTCATTATCCATGACCCTAAGGACCTACCTTTAACCCAGTCCTTCCTGGTTCCTGCTGGGGTTCATGATCATGGTATGGCTGATGTAGGTTCCAAGCTCAACATGGACTTGAAGAGATGTAGACAAAGGTGAGTTAATGAGACAGCTTCAGTCATCACCTGCTGGGTGCAATTCAAAGACCTGATTGTTTAACATTGACTGAAGTAGTATTCAAGATAAGATCACAAAGCCTTGTCCTATGACAACTTGACAAATACTCAAATGTAAATGATAGACAACTTAGACCAATTCTAGATCTGAAATCATATGTCAACTGTGGATTTTATTGTCCGTGTACCAGAAGTCAACAATCAACCATTTGTTTTTGAATGTCTGTAGTCTTGTTCCATTCTGATATTTGGTCTTAGTGGTCAATTGCTTCTCTTTTTGATCATGATTTGTTCTCTGTGGGGGTTCTAGGGTGTGATTGATTGACCCTCAGAGTACAAGAATTTGTTCCTCTTTCTACCTAGGTACTTTGGCACTGGTCTGATTGCCATGCATGGCTTCCGCAACTCGTCGCGTACACCGTGCCATTTCATCCTCTTCAGCGAGGATGTCTTTGCCCTACTGTGGTTAGAGCTTCATTCTATCAGCATCTTCCACAGGGTGTGTGAGCTGATATGACTTTGCCATGATCCCCCAAGGTAGACTGTACAGAGGACTGGGACCGTGTCTACTGTGAAACGTCAGAGATACCACTGTATGGGTTTTGTGTGAAAACGTTTTGAGGTGATCAAGTGCCATATGCCAACCTGGTTCTGTTGTTTACAATGCAGTCATTGAAAACATTGACATTCATAGCAATGCAGAGTCCACAGTGGTTGTTAAATTGCCAAACATTTAAAGCTGGCATCAAAACTAAGCAAGACTAACAGAGTTGTGCATTTGACAAGGGGACATTATTACTGAACCCCCATGTGACAATTTTTGTGTGAACACTGAATCAATAACAGCTGTTCTGTTCAGATATTTATGGCAGCACTTCTTCTGGTAAACTTGGATGAGTTGAAAGTTTCTGCTCAAATCAAACAATGGACACCTACATAATTGACTGAAAGTTCTGAGCATGGAATTTATTTGCAGGCAGACAGTGTAGAATATGAAGCATTTTGTGACCGTCATCGTGTCTGCTGAGAAGATTTTCTAAAAATCCTACAATGCACTTTTAGTTGTACATTTAATTGGATTGTTATTACAATATTATTTGGTTTCCATGGATGGTCAGGATGTGTTGTAATGTATCTACATATATTTATAGATGTGTCATGATGTCACTCATGGCTAGATGAGCTTAAGTGTGAGGAAATCCCACTTTTGAAAAGTAGCATTAAGTATTTTATAACCTTTTTTTAACAGGAATTTTAACTAAAATGCCAGAAAAATTCATTTAAAGGATAAAAAGAAGAGAGTTTCAATATAACATGAATGATAAACGTTTAGTGTTAAAAGCAATTCAGAAAGTGCTCATATTATTGTTCTAAAAACTGTCAAACCAAAGTTTTCAAAGAGGCTTGTTTCATTGTGTTCGTCATGAGGATAATTGACGAATAATGAATTTGATGAGTTATGAATTATGATGAATAATAAATGTAATGAGTTTGGAATAATGGACGATTCAAATCTCTGTTAAGTAACCCAAAAAGCTCAAGACAATTGTAAAAGATGGTAAATTTGGGATATGGCTGTCTTTTAGGCCAAGAAGAATAATTTAGGTTTGATAGAATTTTGCATCGTCAACAATAATAAATTCCTTTTATTTGTTATTGTTTTGAAATTTTAACAAAATTGGTCGAGACGTTGGAAACATTTTCACCTGAGAATTTTAATCAAATAATCTATTGAACTTATTGTATAGAACTGATAACCAATTGATTAAAAAATGAATCAATATCCAGGAAAGACATTTTAAACCCAAATTTTGTTATGGGAAAGAAGGATGCTCTTTTGCATTCATATCCAATCTTAAACCTGATTTTTGTCTGTTGAAATTTCACCTATAAATCTGTATCCCCTTGCATGTATTTCCGAATTCTTCTTTTGTTTGATAAAGTATGCAATGTTATGTGATACCTCATTTGTGAAGTTCTTAATTTATTTACTTATTTAAGACACAAGAGTGTCAAATGATGCTATAAAGTTAAAAAATGTCTGATATTAAAAAAAATGTTTTGTGTTCTTTCAAAATGAAAATTTGCAATTAGTTAATAATTAATCAAGTTGCTGTAATTTTAAGTGGCGCATCACACATTAGTTTCAGAGGTTATGTTGACTGTTGAGAAAATGTGTTTGTTTTGGATGGAAACATCTGATCATGAAGTAAAATTGTTCAACGCAATGAAAATAGCATTTGGAGTCATTGTCAAAATCGTTTTTGTTTTACGGTTGTGAATTACATTTATTGCCTCTTGCTTTTACATTGATAACGAACATTGGTAGTAGATTATAATTTGCGTGTGATTTATTTTGGATATTTATTCTGTTGGACTAGTGAAATCGGCTTCTTCCACAAAGTCATCATTATATCTAACTCCATGGCTTCTTCCCAGGGTGTAGACTACTAAAAGTCGAGTGAGAATTTCTGGCCAGCTCAGAAGTATTAAAAAAAGTGCCCCTGCATGTGCCCCCACCAACAAGACGTCTAGCGCCGCCACGCGTTTGGAACTTTAAAAGAGTTCAAAGTTCGCGTTTGGTATATTCCATTATTCTAACCCGTGTTCGAGTCCCGAGACAAATTGGAAGAGAAAGTAAAACGGGAAGGCCTAGTATGACTTATATAATTCCTCAATATAACTCAACTTACATACATTAGTCTGCATCTCTCTCGAATTGGAATTAAATTGTCAGAATCGAAAAAGGACATAATAAAAAAACATGGTTGTTCCATTAGAAATAAGGGTGGATCTGTTCATTTTTCTATGGTTTTTAATACGTGTGCTATATTGGTTTTCTTGCCGGCGGAATTCCCCATCGTGTGAAAACCTGGACGACTTAAACTAGATTGTGGCATGTATGGTGTAAGGTGTGTTTATCGTGTGTGGTATATACGTAAAACAGCAGGTAAGTGTGTCGTTCTCTTCGTCTGGTAAGCATAGTAAGGCTGGGGTAATTCCTTAGATACTTCTGTATTTCGAATCTACAAACATTCAAACAAAAATATTAACCAACATGACCACCATGCTGACGACCAACTTAACTTGTGTACGTGTAGGCACGGTAGGCCATGGGGTAGGCCCAGCCCCACAAGTAGGGCGGTGGTGGCGACAGATAAGAGACAGATTGTAAAAGCGAGCCACTACAGCCCTATTATTAGTATTTGTGGGGCAAGGGGTAGGCCTAGCCTAAGCCTATGTAAATATCTAGCCTGAGCATGCAGGAAGGGTCTGAGTAACATCCGGACTAAGAAATATCCTTGTTATCCCATTTCTGTGCACCTAACATGCCAAGGCGGCTTTGAAACAAGATTTCCAGAAAACTCTTGGTAGGCCGAGTGTGACCATTTGACCTGACTATGGTCAACAGCTCTCTTTGTGCTTTTTACAGTGCATTCTCCGTTCAAGTGAGCGTTCAAATGTGTCATTTTTGTGTCGCTTGTGTTTTTTAGAAGTATGGAGTGTGTTTGATAATGCTTTATATGAAATTTCTCCTGGCTGAGTTTTTTTTTCAGAAATCCATGTGGTAAGGAAGTCTATGAATCATGAAAATTCTAAAAAATGACGAGAGAGGTGATATTTATTGCAGTTTTCTCATGTCGCCAGCCAAAGTGCTTTTCATGAATACTTTCCTATTTGCCTTCAAGGCACATGTCGCCAATTTCATAGCCAAATACGTTACCATTTTTTCGAAAGGACAGAAAGACTTAACATTTGAGGAACACACCCTTTGAAGTTCATGCTAACAGACAAGACTGAACTGGGGATTACATTGTAAATATGGTATAAATTTAATTAGTTTTGAAATTAAAAAATATTGTTAGGCCCCAAATTTCCATGTGTTACGTACGTGTAGGGCCATATACGTTACCTATTTCCCCTCTCCTCTGGAGACACGCGATGGCAGCTGACCTCAAACATACATGTACATACCAGTCAATAACGTGTTGGATTATGACTGCTCAAGTGGTGGGAGAAGTAGGTAGGGTCACACATTTTGTCAAGGGAAGCGTATTTCAACATAAGCCGGCCAGATATTACTAGTCTGTAGTCTGGTATCTGTTTGTGATCCTTCAGACTGCTGCATTAGAAGTGAACAGGAATCAGTCCAATGTGCTATAAATACATTCATGGCATTTTTGCATACGATTTGTAGGAAAAGTATTTACCACTAAAACCATTTACATATAAACAGGTTTGACAAAGGAGCACAGAATATGAAAAATGATGGAGGTCGATGAAGAAACTGTAAGTTTGGATGCATGCAGTCAAGCAGCTGAGTCATGGTTGGGGAAACATTCCCTACCTTGGAAACTTCTTTGGGCAAATGAAGCTGAGAGAAAACTTGTATTTGAACATCAGAGAGGAGGTGTTACATTCACAGTGGCACTGTTGCCGCCTGCCATGTCTGCGGAAAGTGGTCAACAAGGTCGACGGTCATTCGTGAGTTGCGTAGAAATTGACATTAGCCACTTTATGGTGCACCTTTCAAATATGCCTTTTGGTTACATTTTGGTTTTCACATGGTGTTTGTTTTTCTGTTGCTTCCTGTTCCACTCTTGGGGACAGGGAACAGAGAGAATGACTGAACATGAAAGGGGAGGGGATTAGCCAGAACATGAAAGGGGGGATTAGCCAAAGTACACTCTGCCGCATCATGGGGTGTGTTTTGGCAACTCCTAACCAGATATATATACATATTTATGACATCAATTCAGTGATGAAAAAAAAAAATTCAAGGTGACCCTCAAAACTTGGCCCAAGAAATGGTGACGTCACCTGAGACGCAGACAGAGTACAAGGTAACTGAAAAGTTTGTCCATAAACATAATTTTCTCTGAATATTCTGCAAATGTCCAATTGCTAATGATGTCTTTTCACATTCTAGAAAAAAGTACCCATTTTGGTTCGCTGCATGCAACAACAAAATTGGGGCTACACAATTTACTTATTTCAAAGACGATAAGAAAGTTATGTTCTTGTTTACTACTCTTTTGGACCAGTGCTGAACTAATTCCAACCTTTGGTTCTCATTTAGTCGGAACAGTGATGTCAAACCCATACATCTGAAGCTGCCAAAATGCTTAATTAATTCACAAAGCTGAAACATGTTTATGGTTCAGATCACCAAAACAGGCCCTCAGTCAAAACCTTGCCACAAAATGTGTGGTTTTATGACTGCAATCACTGCATGTCATGTGTAGACTAGGAATAATTCTTTACTTTGGTGCCATTATTTTAGAGGAAATGTTGTGTCGGCAGAGATAAGTGAGTTGTTACTTCATAGTAATTTTGTATCCTTATTTCACTGAAAAATAGCGATTCATCATCACTTTCTGTAAAAGACTGACTGAAATTGGATTTTCCTTATTAAACCTTATTTTTGTTTTTAAATTCCAAACTGGAAATAATTTTGAAAACAGGAATAAAACGCACATGTATGTTTGCTCCAGTGGTGCATATAAAACAGTTATTAGTGTCTTGCTCTGAATAAGCAAACACCATTTGCCATAAAAATAGGGAAGGTTTGAGAAATGGAGACTGATGTTTATTACTCAAAATGTAATTGGGATCATTTTTTTAGTTTGGACGTAGGCCAGCACTTAACCCTACACCAAAAGTGTTCCATTACAAGGCCATTTTGTTCTGTTTCATGCAGTTGTGACTTGGTTTGATTATGTTCAACTTGAAACTCAATTTCTCTCCAACTTTTACAGAGGGCTCAAAGTGATAATGACAAGGTGTGGTCATTATTAAAAGATTGTCATGGAACCAGCTTACAGGAGTGTCTAGAAAAAAGTATTGTGGCTTTGGAGCCTGTAAGTACTGTTTTGATAAAACAGTGAAAAATGCATATGTTTCTTGCTATATAGAAAATAACTTATTTCTTTGTCAAAGTTATCTTATGAATAGATTTTATATTGAAAATAACATGTAAATTATGAAACTTGTTCAAAATTTGGCCCTTTGTGAAAAAATGTCAAATTGAAGAAATGAGCTTGTTCACTCATATATGTAAATTCTTTATTAACAGCTTTTTGGTGCTTCCAAAAGGACAGAGATTGATAATGATGATGATGACGATGATGATGATGATTATAGCTGTGGTGATTACTTTGACAACAGTGATGACGTGATGGAAACAGGGGATGGTGTGGTGGTTGGTTTTTCTTCTCATGTAGCAAGGTTTGTCTTTGATATCGCTCAGGCCACAAGTTCAAAAACATAAACTGTTCAATCAAATCAGACCAGACTAGTTCCTGAGCTAACCAAATTTTCCAATCGTGAAAGTCGGAGGTTTCTTTAGATGTATGCTGCATTTTCTGTAAGTTTTGCATGTCTGAGTGGAACAGAGTAATTCAAATCTTTTTAAAGCAAGTGACTGGATAGGCATATACACAACTTTCAAAAGACAGACCATTCACTACTCCGGTGGTATGTCTTGTATAAACTTGAAGTATATTTGCTGAAAAAGTATTTGTATGGCAAGGTTTGAAACATTAGCTACCTTTGTTGTCTTTTTTTGACTTATCCTACATTGTAGAGAAACTCCAAATGAAGATGATGGCATTACAGATGTCGAATATGAAATGTACGCCAAGTCAGGATCCAAGATGGCAGTACATCGATTGCTGTCTGGTTAGTAATGCTGATTGCCCACAAGCAATTTAGTACAGGAATAGGACTCGGTGGCTGAAGTATTTTTGGTTAGATCCAATCATTTGAAGTGCTTTGATGGTTGAATCTGTGAGTGTAAAACTGGCCCTCTGTCCTAGATTTGAATTTCATAGATAACATACATGTACATTTGGATGTGTTCTGTTTGTCCATTGTGGGCTATCCAAGAACTTTGACAAATAGGATTCAAGTTGTTAATGTCTGATGTATGATGTTGTTCTTGTGGTAGTCAACCCAGTTTCTCTTTTGTAGGCTAGTTTGACCAGAATTGATTTAAAATGTGTCTAGGTGCCGGCAGTTTTCCCCTCTCAGAGTATGCGACATTCTATGAATGAAATTTTTTTTAAAAAATGTGTTCAGCTGATGGTTACTTGCAAACTAAAATTATTCTGAGGTTATGAGAAAGTTTGTCAGGGAAGGTCTTATTTAAACAATGACTGATTTGTGTCTTGGACAGATTTGAAGATGTTCAAGCGATCCAACTGTACCAGTGGCATCTATGGAAGCCCTAGAGGGGACAACCTGTTCTTGTGGGTAAGTGATTAGATCAAGTGAAATGCTTTTAAATCCACAGACAGCAGAGTGTGGTGATCCTTCACTTGTATTTGTTACACAGCTACTTTGTTACTGCCCGGTGGCAAAGTTTGGTGAGTGTTTATTATTATTATTATTGGTTTATTTTAAAACAGAAATTTTGCAGCCAAAGGCTGAATTGCGTTTCATGTACATGATCATAAAAACATTTGACAGAGCTCTTGATAGAAACACCAACTTTGCCATCCCAATTGCCTGATTACTCTGAGGTGAAATAAAAGTAGTTTTTGTAAAGTGTCTTGCTCAAGAACACAAACATTAAATTGGCCTGTCTCAGGATTCCTGAGACAGGAAACACAACTGGTCCAATGCCAAAGATCCTCAAGTCTCAAAATCTAAACTTTACAGGATGTGCAATTGACTGATTTTGATCAGAAGTCTGTCTTGGGTAAGGACCTTTGCAAGTATGCTGAAAGGTTCCAACAGAAGCCAGAGGTCCAGCTTGAAATGTCTTTTCCCTGTGACTACCCCATGTCTCCTCCTTTCATCCGAGTCATCAGACCAAGGTTCAAGTTCCTAACAGGTAGGCACTGCAATAAATTAGCTGCGTTAAATGTGGCATCTGAGAACATGCTGGCATTGTACGGAGGAGTAAAGGTTTATTTTAAACGACTGAAAACAAGCTTTGGCATTCTGATCTCAGAACTGGCAAATGCATAATACTCACCACTCATGACGTTTACAAAATGAAAAAGCAATATTCGTTGGGACGGAATTGATTATTTTTGTCTTTTCTCAGCGCATGTGACAATAGGGGGCAGTATTTGTATGGAACTCCTGACCAAGTCTGGTTGGCGACCCACTAATGACATCGAGGTATGTATGTAAGACAGTCTTCTAAAAAATGACTTGGACTCGGATGTTCTTATCATATTCTGGGTGACACAGAAATGAACTTGACTATGAACAATGACTTGGACTGAGACTCAAAACTCAACCTGTGTGTCTCGGATTCATCATCAACAATGAAGACACATGTTGAGGTCCTGGAATCTGTGTATGTAGTTAGTGTGCCTGAGAAGAAAATATCATATGGAAACACTTTTGATCAATCAAGTTACCAATTTTTACCAACATTCACAAACTTGATGATCACAGCATTTTTCTTCTTAATCCCCTATGTAATTGGTCTCAGACAGTGTTGTATTTGAGTCAATCACAAGTCCCTGTAAGTCCATCACAAGTCCCTGTAAGTCCATCGCAAATCGTTCAGTCTTGAGCCAAATCACAAGCTATTCAAATGAACTGTGACAAAAGGATTTTTTAGTACTTATTAAACGTGTTACTTATGAGTGACCTTGTGAAGGGACTTATGACTGCCCTTGTGAAGGGACTTGTGACTGGACTTGTGGAGGGACTTGTGATTGGACTTGTGATTGGACTTGTGGAGGGACTTGTGATTGGACTTGTGGAGGGACTTTGGAATACAACACTGGCCTTAGATTAAATAAGACTTGTGGGTTTGCATGATAGATGACAACATGATAGCTAATCTGTTTTGAGAGTTGTGTGGTTCTGAGAATCATTTGTTTGTTAGAACCACACAACTCACAAAAGAGATTAGTCCTCACAGTATTGCCGCAGACCTTTCGTACTTTGGTCTTAGATTAGCAATAAAAAGTCAGAAATCTACTTTTACCCCTAAATACGAGCCCTTAATTCATTTGAAAAATATTAACTTGAGTGATCTTTCGTTGACAGAGTATTTTGGTCCAAGTCCGATCAGAAATCATTTCCGATCCTAAGGCTGGGTTGGATATGAGTCGTCCCAACCAGGAGTACACAAGGATGGAAGCTGAGACAGCCTTTCGACGGATGGTGGATCGTTATGGATGGAATAAATAAGCTAGTGAAAGAGTGGTAGTGCCCCAAATGCAAGAAGTTGCAATAGGATTGTTGTTTGTTTTGATGGCGTGTCATGTTCCTTGCCGGTAAGAAAATAAATTTGAACACTTCTAAAAGTTCCCAGCAGTGATCGAAGCAAGTCTCTTCAACAGCATTGCATTTGTTTCTAATGTTTGAGGTACATTGCACTGTTTGATGGTGAAACAGTGGTATTTGTGTATCAATATGTATATATTTATGATGTCACCAATCACCAAGGCTTGGGTTAAGACTGAGAACCCATCGTTGCATTGAACTTATTCACACTGTAAGCAATCTACATCACATGACACATGATCCTTAATATCACTTTCCACCTGTTAGGGGGTGTAGTGTCTACAGTACATGCTGTGTGGCCACTTTTATATTCTTAATATTGCCAATCTAGCCAGACATTGCAATTTGTAATATCATTTCCTATTTCTTCAAGTCAGCTGTTACCTTTGTATTTGAAATTATTCATTATTTTGAGTTTTGTAACTTAGATTATTGCCAATAAAATAACAGAATGATTTGAAGTTTGGTTTTACATTATCGGTTGCTATAAGCTGTAGTTAACGTGGCATTATGTGACCCCTGTTCAGTTTTCGTAATGATATTGCTGAATAAGCTCCTTCAAAACATGATAGCATCCCTTGAAATGTGAAAACTATTGGATTATGTATCTGTACTCAGGGACTTCATCAGTGTTAGAGATGCTGTCAAGGGACAGTTTTAATTACACTCATTTTGGACATTAGTGATATCTTAGTAAAGTTTCTCCCTTTTTTTGTTTGTTGTGAGTTTTTTTAGGGGGGGGGTTCTTTGTTCTTAACATAACTACCTTTTTCTCCGTTTTTTTTTTTAATGATTTGTTTGCAAAAACAAAAAGTCATACTGTCGTAGATCTCAGACCAGTCCTGGACTGTGTTAGACCTCCAATTCTCTCTGTTCGAGTTAGAGGCTTTGTCCAAATCAGTGTCACAGTCCCTGACTCATTTTCTTTGTACTTGTCACTTGATGTCTCTTGCATTTACCAAATCCACTTCAGAGTGTTTCTGGCTGGGTATTTGTTGTTAGCAGAGTAAAACATTACTTCAGTGAAGTTGTGGAAGCAAACAGATTAGTTAGGATGTGATTATGGAAGAGAATGGAATGAAATATCACAAAGGGGACACCATACATCAAATCTGAAACATTTCATATTTACTAAAAATCAAATTTCAACTTACAATTATTTTTCTTGACCTGTCCATATTTTGAACCAAAGTCAGAATTTCAAAGCATTAGACATTATTATGGGACCTAATTTGGTCAGTCTGCCCAGTTATGAATTGACATTGAGCTTAGGATTTCTTGATGCCTTTAGGATTGTGTGGTCCAGTTATGCACTGCATGAGACTTCAATCCATATACTAACTAAGGATGTACCATTGTTGATTGCAGGATTTGGGAGAACGTAGACACTTTCCTGTTGAAAAGAACCTAGAATTAAAGTGAAAACGGTAAGCATGCTTTTTAAATTGTGAGCTTGCAGAGGGCTTTCAAAACTTGAATGACAAACAATATCACAAAAGAAAAATACAAAGAAATGCAAACAAGTTTTATTTTTGACCTGGTGTCCTAAAATATTTGAAAATTAAATTTCACTCACAAAATATTTTTGTATTGTCTGGCTCACACATTGCAAAGGTAAGGAAAGCATGTCTTTGTATAAATACGTAATAAGGTTATCGCTCTGGTTATCATAGTGTACTCTTGAAATAAATGATAAATTTGATATCAATCTTTGAGGTATTTATCTTTTTAGCCAGCGATGATAGGCTATGTGTTGGTAATATCAGTGTTTGTCATAAAGTATGAAAGGAAGATCATAGATGCCATATTTATTTTCCAGGCAATGATAGCATGCCAGTTAATTGAAGTTTAGAATTAGGTCTGGGGAAAATTGTCTGGAAAAAAATACCAGGACCAGCAATATCTATCAAGATACAAGAAGACCATCGTATGGCAGCAATTATTCATCTGAGAAAACAACGATTCAAAGGTCTCATTTACAGACAAGAAGTTTGGATTTTAGATGTATATTTCTCTTGATGGTAGTCTTAAAGGTTAAGAAATCAAGGGCTAGCCTGAGAATAACTACACATACTTGTCAAGGCAAATAAGATTGTAAATGCCAAATGATCAACCCCTCCAAAATATCACCAGGAATGATAACGATAAAACTTAACACTTTCAAATTAGTCTACACATCAGTTAGGAAGTGTAAAATTATTATACATGTACGTTCATGATCCTTCAATGTAATTAATCTGAATTTTATACTTGAAGCACGGAAATATCCTGAAATAAATGCACACAATCTGAGCTGGGCTGGTTAAATTTGTAGTTTTGGTTTGATAGGATATTTTGATATCTTCTGGTACATGGGGAAAATGTTTAGTCACAATCTTTATTTGTGGTACATGTACATTATTGGTGGCATACGTTGCCATGTATACTTACATAATCTCATCAAATAGTTCTTTTTTATTGTTCATTTTTTTTCCTTTTATGCCAGAAGGTTCTTTTATGCCTCCTGGATTGTTAATGTTGATGATTTGTCTAACCCTTCCATACGGCCTGAAAGAAAGTTAGAATAACTAGTTCAAAAATAAAATCAACTTTAACCCTAACCCCCTAGGGTGTATGTAAAAACGTGTTGAAATGGGAGGATTTGGGAGTGTTAGGGTTAAAGAACATGCATAAAACCTGAAATGATAGAGACAAAATTGGCAGGCATTCAAGGAATTACCAAAAAATTGAACTTTCTATTTAGTTTCAGCGACGGACAAACATGTACATGTACAGCTATGTTGTCACTTGTCACTGATGTGTTAGTTACATCATCGGCATCAAGCGGTAAACAATTTGTAGACTTGAATACCCTGCATGTCTGCGTTAACGACCTCTTGGTGAACCTGCTGATTAAGTACCACCTGGATCATTTGAATGTCACTAGCCCCGCCCTCCAGAGGAACTGTAGGAGCCTCATTGGCTGGGAGAATACCAATGTTGGGTCTGAGTTGTTGATGCTTAATAACCTGTATCCTGTGTACTGAGACTAGGTGTCTTTGGAGATGGTGTTTGTGGCGGAATAGATACTGGCAAACCTCACATTTATACTGTCCTTTGCTGGTGTGGGCGCGGTAGTGAGCCCTGCATTGTGTCTCTGTCTTAAAACGCCAGGTACAGCCAGCGAAGGTACAGGGGTAGGGGCGATCCATGGAGTGGACGGCCATGTGCTTCGTGAGCGTGGAGCGGTCCGTGTAGGCCGAGCCACAGATGTGACACAGCACACAACCTTGGCTATGCACCTGTCGATGAGCATGGATAGCACTATGTAACTTGGATTGAAAGTCGCACTGTTGACACTTGAAGATCTTTTCCCGGTGGGACTTTCTGTGAGCCATCAGCCGGGTGCGGGACTTAAAGGCTTTGCCGCATTCATCACACAGGAAGTTTTTCTCGGTCCGGTGGGTCTCCATGTGGACCCGTCTCAGTCGGGCTTGCTTGAACACCTTGCCGCACGTCTGACAAGGAAAAGTGTCTGGCTGCAACTTTCGTTTGTTTTTAAGCCTAGCCCGGCACTTTCGCTGCTGAGGCCTAGACTCCAGACACTCCCAATACTTGCTTAAACTCAGCAACTGTCCACCGTACTTCTTCCCTCTTGTTTTCCGCTGTTCCTCCAAGAAAGTCTTTTCATATTCTTCTACTCTTAAGTTATTCACAAATTTCTTGTGGGTGTTGAACATGTGCTTTGACAGCACCATAATGTCGTTAGCCTGTAGAGGGCAAAATAAACAGCTGAGCACAGTTTTACCGTAACTGAACTTTGCCCCTTCAACCTTGACCACCTCCATTGCAAACTTGTAGTTGATACCGTCTCGCAGGAATTCATCCGTAGCCAATTTAGGCAGCTTTTTTTTGACTAACTCTTCATAGACTTTCTCTGCTTCCTCATCCATGTGCTGAGCATCAGGGTCTGCTATGACAGCGATAATCTCACCCTCAGTCTCCCCAACCTCCAGGACTCTGTAAGAATTACTCTCCCCTCTATCATCTCCTTTATCAAAGATAATTTGATGATAACTTGTGTAATGTTCCAAGACTGCATCCTTGCAAGATGAAGCTGCTTGGCATAGTTCACAGCAAATATTGCTGCTCTCACCTGCATCTGAAATGAGAACGGGGAAACAGTAAAAACAGAAACCACAATTTTAAAAACTGCCCACTTTTCCCTTCCGTCTCATGTCGCAGCTATATAGCTACGTACAAAGTACCACTTTACACCAATGATGTGTTTTCAAAAATTAACAAAAATCCTTCAACAGTGCACCTTAACAAACAGCATCTCTAATACAATGTTAAGTAATTACATGAAAATGATGTATTAAGTAGGGCCAAGCGATCCATGGGAAATTCTTCAGACAGAAAGTGGGCCGAGTGTGGAGGCCATTTCACGCATACGCAAATGCGTACTTAGTACTAGATGAATGTAGGTCGTTCATGAATCACAACGGAAAGTGTGGAGTTTCGCAAAATTTCCTGCAAATTATATTGTCTGTGGGTGTATTAAGTAATTTCAACACAGCATTTATGAAATCTGGTATTACGAGCATCCATGGAGGAATCCTCCATGGGACGACAAGGAAGTTGTGAACAACATTTGAGCTGTCTTCGCCGAGTAAAATGTGAGAAAAAAAACGTTGAAAAAAATTTCACATTGTAGGAGGACTTTTATACCTTGGACATTAGTTGCAATGCAATGTATTTATGTAGACGACGTCCAACCTGGGCAATCCCTTTACCCAGCATGCCTAGACGTAAGTGCAATCATGGAGGAATTCTGTTTTCATTCCTCCATGGTGCACAACTAGAACCTCTGATGCACCGACCATGCCGACGGCGAGAATTCCAATTGCCATGATTGATATTTGACTATCGCCATCAATTCGTCACTTACGGTTTGCTCGATGCTTCAGATATGCGGTTAGAGTGTCCCATTCTTCCTTACATTTCCCACAGACGAAAACATTTGGGTCAGCTTGGACAGGCTTTTTCTGGGATAACTCTTCCAGTTCCATCTCGACAAGGACCTAGCTAGCTCAGCGCGGAGCCCTGACAGGCTTAATCCCTGAAGTAGCATTGAGGGCGTTCTATTTCGTGGTAATATGCCTACCTGGTTTCCCGCTTAAAAGGTACTAAATCGGTATGAAGGCGCCGGCAACCATCCACTGATCAATCGAACGTTTCTCGCGAGAAGGTACGCCATTATCGTCGTCTATCGTACTACCCGGGGTTTCATTCCGCTGCGGGATTTTGCCGAGAATTACCGCGAAGTTTGGTCTAAACTTTGGTAAACTTGTGGAACTTTTTAAAGCCGTAGAAAGTCAGTTTGTATCTCAGTTTTGACAGGTGAAAATATTGAGACGATGCTGGTCAAGGGCGCTGTATTGTTTCCATCATAGTCAAGCTAAAACTAAAGCGGGAAGTTTAGCTGTACGTATTAAGGCCCTGGCCTACCTTCGGACCTGTTTGTTTACTCATTTACTACTTACTAGACATGTTAGAGTCATACTTGCGCAGTCTGGCAGTGTATCATTGCGTTGGATTGATGCATCATGATTATGACGTATGTTTGGCGCAGTTGGTCATTTTGCACGATTGATCTGTCGATCTTATCCCATGCTTCCTCTCTTTCACTGTTGTGGGAGAATGTTTCAGAAAAGGAAGTAGGCCTAAGCCCAGTACAGCCTAATTGATCGACTAACATGACTGATAAATGCCCAACATGTAGGCCTACTAGTAATAGTACTATGATTATAGATACTGGGCCTGTAGCCGTGGTAGCCGCCTTAGTCCAGCCCTGCCTAGTGTAGACCCACACACTCATCATTAGTGGTAAGCATCAGGCCTAAGGCGGGTAAAACGTTTAGTCTGCCTGACCCCATTTTTTTTTCCTTATGTTAACCAAAATCAAGATGTGACGAACTTTACACACTAACTAATCACATGACTTAGGCCTAATATCTGAATATCCTAGACTCTTCAGCATTTTTCTTCATTGTTGAGTTTCACTGTCATAACTATCTGGGAAATAAATCTTATTAAATAGTTTATTCAATAAAATTCAATAATTTTAAGGTATTTGCTATTTCTTTTACTGTCTCTGTGAATGAGGCTATAATCATGGTAATTGATCTTGAAGAAAACAAGATGTGAATCACTGAATGAATAAGAATCACTTGAATAGCGGAAGAGAAGTCCCTTTAAACTCAGTGCATCAGAACATTATAGACTAGTGAAGATGATTATTAAATGAATGTATCAACCTTATTTGTCTTCCCTGATCCTAAAGTAAAGGATCCATTAGAAGTAATGACTAGAGATTTGGAGGATTTTGTAAGAAAGGACATGGACTCTAATCACCATTTGAACTTTGAAAGTGCACAAATGAATCGAGATTTAGGAAGGTTCCTTGCCAGAATATTGGAATTAAAGTTTATTGTCATGCTTTTCCAATTATCTCTTCTTACACTCTATGTTTAAGCAGAGACAAGATCAGGTGCCTAGTGGGTGAAAAATGTCGTCAGTAAAAGCGGAAGAGGAAACCAGTGATGAAGCCATGCTCCATATGGATGTAGAACAGATACCAATGGTGCCTACCATGCTTGCACAAGGTGGTTTTTTAGTGTTGACGATTACATTTCAATTATGCCAAAGTACAGTCGGTGACAAGTTAATGACGACTGGTTTATTTGCCAAAATTGACCAGTGGATGACATGGTCATTGATAAAATGTGCTCATTTTTCTGAGAATTATCTTGAGTAGGCCTACTTACTTGTAAACCAAAGCCATAAATACCACACCTTTGTACTCTTGGCCTACATTGCGAACCCAACTCATCATGTTTCTGCCATACGCAACTAACAATCAGTCCTACAGGGTCAAACAGTTTTATTGTAAATATTTAACCACAGAATATGTACTGCTGGCCATTGAATCTATTATAATGCTATTCTGGCTTGTGCACAGACAATCTTGAGGATGAAGGGCCAGTAGCCAAGAGACAGCGATTAGATGATGGCGATGCTAGGACATCAATGGATGACAGCATCAAGGTGAGCTGGTTAAGGTGTGGAAAGGGAGACGTTGTCAGTTTCTTTCTTGTTCCTAGAGTCTTTGGCTGTCTCTTTTCCCTTTGAATCAACCTAGAAGGAAAATAAAAAAATTGCTGCTTTGAACCATTTTACAGAAGATGCATGTACATTTAAAGAAAAAAACCCACCGAATTATGACTTTAATTATGATTTATCATGACAGGCCATTCTTTTTAACATCAACAAGGCTATATGCTGTCGACTGGACAGTATGGAACAAAAGTTGACCAACCTACACAACACCTGTATGAAGATGGGACGCAAGGTGGACTGTCTCAATTTGACCGTTTCTCGGGCTATGGCTAAAATCAAGGATGTTGAGACAGCAATGTGAGTAAATCTTCCTCAGAGGTGTATAAACTGTTCTGCAGGACTAAAGATAATGTGAAATTGTATGCTGAAAGGTAATAGCTACAGGAAATGGTGAAAGTGACGGAGGTACTTTAAAAAGCTGAGCTTTTGAAATGTGAAATGTTTGTATATCAGTCAGGAGTTACTGAATGATAGAAGTCATTTTAGTTTGATATTAATAATAATAAGCTTTGTGTGCGAGTTTAATTTGTTTGTAATCTTTGACATGCAAGTGACCTCAGTCGGGTATTTATGATATTGTAGAGTTATTAATTTTAATTCAACATTGGTTGACTGTGTTTCTAGCAGTGAAAGCAATGGTACTCCGTCCCCTAATAATGCTGTGGTTATAGGGATTCCTTCTGAGGGTAAGTTAGGTGCAGACTTCTGTCTTGCATTTGTCATTATAATTAGACTGATCATTATCAATGAAGATGAACACAGTAAGATTAGATGATACAAGGTATACTCAGCTCTTAAAAAGTGGCTTTCCTAATAAAAACATATTCAATTTAATATATATTACAGAACCCAAAAAATAGTATCGCATAATTGTAATGAATAAGTTACAAATTGAAAAGAATTTTCAGTTATTTAGAACGCAGTTAATCACCCTTATAAATCTGGGAAAAATTCTGATTAAATGAAGTTCAAATTAAGTGTCTTATTCACCGCAGAAGAACAGAGAGAGCCGAGTTCTCCACAAGCGTCATCACTTTCAAGAAACCTCAGTCGTAATGTGACATTGATTACACTGAACACAGAAGGTAAGATACCACGTTTGATATCAACCCCAGGCATTTGGATTTTGTTTGGAACAGTCCTGAATCCTTTAAATTCTACCCCTGTTTAGGAACCTAATGGCATACTCTGTGCACTTATAATTTCAATTTCCATCATGCCCCATGGAAACTAGTAGTTGCTGTGCTTGATTTTCCTTGACTCCCTAGTTTTGGAGAATTAGGGAGTCAGGTTAATGCAGAGTTAGCCTTGCACCTCCTGGACCTGGGTTCAAATCCTGCTTGGGTTGAGGTGTGGATTGGGTTTTCAGTCCCTACCAGATGATGTGGATTTTTCTAGGAATATTATCTTCGGGTTTTCTCACACCCTAAAGCTGAAAAGTTTCCTTCATCTTCCACCCTCTCTATCTCTAGGTCTCTGTAGTCTTTAGCGCCTTTGCACTTTTGAGGAATTCTGGGATTCACTACCAGAAGGAATTTCAATAAAAAAGACTACCTTTTGTGATCAGTCCCTATGAAGAGATGGATTTCAGTTCCGTCATGCTATAATACATGTAGTCAGGACCTGTTTGCTACAAGGGGTTTAAGATTTTAGTTATTGTGTTAACAAATATGAAAATGATTGTCTTTACAGAGGACTTTCCACATGGGTCCTGGCTAGGAGATGAGACTAATGTGGAATGTAGAGTCCGATGTGGTATATTGCCAACGTAAGTCCTTTGAGCTTGTCCAGTTCAGTAGAAAGATGTCATTATGCAAAAGTGGGGGGTATTTTGTTGTCTGCTCACTGTGTTTTGATGGCACGGGTTTCCCTCATAGTGACATGCTGCATGTGATGCAAACCTCCAAGACACCAGAGAAGTGCGCCCTCAAGCTGCTAGACTACCTCTTTGATCGGGAGACGCAAGCAACGTCAAACTTGTCTGGAACAGGCAAACATGGGAAGAAACAGCTGAACCCGCTCATGATTTATGGACTGAGATGTAAGTTGATGGAGCAGGGAAAAGTAGAGATCCATCTGGTGTCAGATCTAGGAAAGTGGACTTTGAAATGCCAAGTCAAGGAATAAGAGTGGTTTTTTTTTAGAATACTCTGGATTTGTAGAGATTTGTAATGGAGTTTATTATCCCTATATCCAGAATTTTTCACTTGCTTTTGCTTGTGATAAATGTAAATCGGATTTTGTTTTTCTGCAAAGGTCACCTGATCAAGCACTTTGGCATCACTGATACTGACTGGCATCGAATCCGGATGAACATTGACTCCAAATGTCGCACTGCCTTCCGTCGTAAGCAACGGGGTCTGCCTCTGACTGTCAAGGCATTTGGGTACAAGACCAGCACACCAGAGAGTGATCACATGTTTGCTGAAAGGGTGAGTTCTAAGAAATTGTGGAGTAGGTGAGAAAGGTTACACAGTATAGCTCAAAAAGTGAAAAGTCCTTGGCAAGGACCCATGTTAGAAAAAAAAAATGTGGAACATGATGAAATGTGGCAGTGTTGGGACTAGGGGTTGAATGTGTGCTTCTCCTGGGATTCATCCATATGATTACAATTAAACCAATATTTGTATAACTTGGGTTGAGGGAAGATTGATATGAGCTGAACTGCAATATGGTGGACGAACTCATTAGAAATGACTCATGGTCAGAAATATCTATCGACCTGGAGAAGCATCCCCTTATTGGTTGAAAAGAACTGTTTTGGTTGGGAATGTTCATTTTGTTGGAAATGATGTAACCGTGATGTGTGCATTCCCTGTTTGTGAACCAGCAAAGTGCAGTTCCAACCAAAAGAGTCTCTGTTGCTAAGAAAATAGCACCTTCTCTTGTTCCAGCTCGAGGCCCCTAGGATAAGGTTTATACAACAAACCAAAGTTTACGACTGGCATTACTGAAGAGCATTTTTAAGTCATGAGGTTTTTTATGTAACTATCTTGGCATAGTTTGAGGAGAGACAAGACACCATGAATGACTCACACAGCTCCGATGACTGTAGCAGTTTGCACACCCACAGAGTTCATGTACAATTACCAGTTGACCACACCCACCTGCAGGAATTATCTCATGATGAAGAACATCATGCCCAGGCTGGATCTGTTCTCAAGAAGGTGAGGCTCACCTTCATCAGCAGGACTGATGAAGATTTCCTCATGGCAGATATTAAGCTCGGCAAATGGTGCTTTGCTTGCATTTTAACCCCTTCGCACCCGGAACCTTCGACAGCCACGGCTTTGTGTGAGGATTAGTGCACACATAGTTCTATTCATCATGCAGCTGCAGTTTCAACGTCGGCCTGCTGCTAGACAGGGCTTTGCATACTGGGCATACCGCAGCCCAGCAGTTGCGGTCAAAAAAATCCCGGCGTTAACTGATGTAAACCTGTTGAATAGACACTTTGTAGTACCCTGTTCACCTGCAAATTGGAAAGCTTAGTCTGCCGCTGTATAGATCAGATTTATCTGAAGTTGGGTTATAATCTGAAGTTGGGTTATAATCTGAAGTTGGGTCATAATTTAAATCCACCAGGTTCAGATTCAGCAGGACGGCATAGAGTTGCATGAGGGACAGATCAACATCACCCAGACTGGTGAGATCCAAATAGCCGTTGTAGAGGACCATGGCACTGCAGGAACAACATTGGTCCTCCAGCAGAGTGAACCAGTCCCTGACAATCACCATCACCACCCTGATGATGAGGAAGGTATTCATGAGGTCAGGGGTCAAGATGGTGTCATGGATAGCAGTAGTGTTAAAAGTGGGACTCAGTGAAATTGAAGGCATACAATGAACTGGTGAGAAAATGCTACTCGTGTATTTTGGAACAGACGTATAAGTATTTAAGAAGAGACATATTGACAAAGTGGTTGATATGCGTGGTGCAGTTACTATTAAACACTTCTCTTTTAGTGTTCCCAATGTTTGTGTAAAGAAATCCAAAAGGGAACACAAAACAGCAGCTGCAGGATAAAGGGGACTCCAGACTTGAAAAAGATGCCCCCAAACCGGCAACTAAATCTGGGACATTATGAACCTGCTTAGCTGGCAATAATTGCTGAGGAAATCGGCTTCCTGTTGGTTTGTTATTTCCAGCACAAAACTTCCACTCACACCAAGTTGCAACCTTCACAGTTAGGGGGCGTACAACCCAAGCAAAGCCAGAGAATTCAAAGAAATTACCCGGAGTAAATTTCTATTGAGCAGCTAGCAGCCCTGAGTGATCCCACTAGTAGAAGGACTGGTCCTCTCTGGTTTCTTCAGTTGATATACATTGTAAACGAGACTCTTCAAATCTACCGATGCACTACTGTGTTCACGCAAATATCAAGGGCTTGTTCGTTTCTCAGT